AGCCCCCTCGCCCACCCCCACCCTCCATACGCGGTGCATTGACTGGGCCGTACTTGAGCCTAACTGTCCCAAAGTGAACTTGGAAAGTGTTCCCTGGGGATGGGGACAAACATGGAACTTAGCAGGGTGGGTGGAAGGAGGGGGTGCCTCAGGAGGGGAAAGATCTGAGGAGTCGAGGAACACAGGCCGAAAAGTGAGTCAAAAGATTCCAGCTCGGGGTGGAAGGAGAAGGAATACGTCTACAGGCTGACACCACCCCCCATACCAAAATTCATCCGGTCTCCATAGCAACCGTAGCTCCAAGAGTGCCTCAGAAACAGCGGGGATAAGCAGAGAGGAGGATCGGTGTGTATGGTGGGCGGGGGCACCCGCCAGGGGATTTGGGGTTAATGGAGGCACCACCTTCACACCTGGTTACCCACGTGTGGGGTATTTAGCGCCCCGAATATAAAGACCGCCCTCAGTTGAGGCAGAGGGTACAGGCCTCTTCTGGGTTTCCATTCAATCTCCTGAGGTTTCCGGGGTGGGGCTTTTTTCGAAGGTTAAAGAGGAGACAGACAGAAAGAATGGAAAACGTCTGCTCTGTGTCCTCCACCCCTTTAGGGACCTTGGAGTTGAAGGCTTACTGTCCTCCAGCCCAGGGAGAAGGTTGAAGGGCCGATGGGGGACAGAGGCTGAGACCGGCAGTTGTGGGGCGGGCGTCGAGGGGGCCTCCTCTCAGCCTTGGAGACCCCTCCCTGGGACTCGGGGAGTCTCAGCGTTCCCCTAATTTGGCGTCCCACCCTCCTGACGCAGCGGAGACTATAATAAGTGCTGCTGTGGGCGGCTCTCGGAGGCTGAAGCCAGCGGCATGCTCGGCCTGGTAGGGGGTAAGGTAGGGGGGCAGTACCAGCATGCTGGGTGCCCTTTCCCTCCGCGGACCTGTCCCGAGGTCAGCACCGCCCCCCAGAGGCCCCCTCCCACCGCAGCGTCAGGATGACACCATCCCCAGAACAGAAGACCCTTCAGCAGCCTTTTCTGAAAAAGAAGGTGAAGATTTGCTGATTCTGGCTTAATTCTCCTTCCTTCCTTTGGTGGCCTCAGTTTTCCTTTAAGTTCAATGGGAACAGAATACTGACTCTTAGAGTGGAACAAAAATCACTTATGAAGAGTGGTCTTCTCAAAGAGTTCAGCCTCCACCCCTCCTCACTCCCTCCTCTCCAGAGCTAAACTGAGTTCCTCTACCTGACTAAACCTCTTTCCTCCCCCACCCTTTTCTTTTCCTGCTGGGGTGGAGCTTGGAGTTCCTCCCTAGGAGGCCCCATGGGGCCACTCCCCCCTAGGTCTGCCTTTCCAACAGCTGTAGGGAAGGTATCAGCTATAGTTCTTGGCAAATGGTGGGGGACAGGAGGTGAGAAGGGCACTACTGAAAGAAAGGAAATGGGAAGGGAATCAGACTGTTCCCTTAGGAACCTGAACCAAACTGGTTCTTCCCCAAGTTATGCTCTGACGGCCTCTACTATCAGAGGGGTCTGGCAGGAGGTATCCTTGATGGAAAGAACAGTATCTTGCCCATCCCCCCACCCCAACCCAGGTAAGCAGATAAGAATGGAGAGGCTGGAAGAGACCAGGATATGGTGGAGGATGTGCTTCCCCCAGACACCTTTCATGAGCAAAGTAGCCGGCTTTTATTGGCTCTTTGCAGCCTCGGGGCAAATTAGATGACACCAGACCAGAGGTGACCTCCAGTTCCACCAGTTCCTTAGTGGTGGGGCCTTGTGGATAGAGAGAAGCTGTTCCCGCCAGGGCCCCACCACAGGATTGAAGGCTGGGGTGGGCAGGAGGATGTGGCGGTGGTGTTGCTATACCAGCACTTCCTCCCTGTGTTGTCATCGCTCGCTCTAATGGCACGAAGGACGAAGGGCGGAAGGTGTGGGGGGGGCAGGAACGGGAGCACGGGGGAGAGGACCGAGGAGAGTCCTCGGAACTTCTTTGCACTTCGGCTGTGCAGAGCATGCTATGTGAGCGTTAGTGTACGTCTGGGGGACTGAGATACTCTGCGTGGTATATTTCAATCTGTTGTGGTGTGTGTGTGCGTGTGTGTGCGTGTGTGTGTGTGTGTGTGTTCTCTCTACAGCTGGAGAACAAGAGGTCACTGATCCTTCATGGGTCCTGGGAATGACCACATTATCCAGTCCCAGAACCTCCTGCCCCAAACTGCTTCCTGCCCCGGACTCCCCAGGCAGGGTCCAAGTCTACCATGGGTCTGTCACGGCCTGTCTTCCCCATGCTCACCCACTTCTCCATTGTCAAGTTCAGCTCAGCAGTGACCTGTATTTTGATCCCCTGGGAGAAGGATCAGAGTTGGGGAAAGAGGAAGAATGATACCTCCCATGTCTTTTTCCATTCTTTCCAAATATATTCTTCCCCCAGAGTCCCAGCTCCATCTTGGGGACAGAAAGTGGCTGATTGGGAAGTGCTGTATGATCCAGCAAGCCCTTATATGCCCCTGCTGGTCCCCAATACACCCAAGATGGGAGCTAATCCTTCTCTTACCTCGTATGCGGTCCACTGAGGTCTGAATGCTGTCCCGAAGTTCAGGGTCGCTCACCCTCTCTGCCAGCTTCCTGAGGCAGCTTAGAGCCTGCCTGGTCACCTCATGTCGTCTGACTTCTGCTCTCACTGCAGCTACAGCCAACTGCCTCTGGGCATTCATGTTGCCCAGATCTGTCTTGCTGGGCTAAAAGCAACCTCTGGCCCTGAAGCCCATGGCCCCGCAGCCCCCAAACCCCAGAAGGCCTCTTCTGCTGCGCCCCAGAACTCCCCTCCCCTGCCTGCCCTTCCGTCTGTCGACTTCACTTCCTGACTGGTGAGTTTCAAACCCACAGCCTGGGTCGGCACTACCTCCTACACCACCCACCCCCTCTAGCGTTGGCCTATCAGCTCTGCCAGCTGGTTCCTGCTATGATTCCCCAGCCAGGTGGATGGAGAGACCTTAACAAGCATCCCAGGGCATCCTGCGGGAGGTGGCTAATTAAGATGGGTGTTGGTGCTGGGAGAATGTGGCACACCAGGTCCCAGGTGTAATCCCAAACTCTTGATGACCTACAGGTTTGTATTCAGTCTCAGACTCTTACAGGAATCCGTACACACCCGGTCTGCCACCTGTAATGCCCTGCATTCCAGCTTACAGTTGTACTCCCCACCTACTCCGCACATCCAAAGAGTTCAAATACTTACCTCTTGCAATGTAACCCTTCCTTAGTCGGCTTCCCCACTGCAACCACCTCCTGCTTTAAAGGGCCAAGTAGGTACAGGGAGAACAGGTTATGGAGGACAGTAACCTATAATCAGACAAAACCACAAGGCTCCATGTTCAATTAGTTTCATAATAATTAACTCATCTATAACACTTAATAGTTTACAACACACTTTCACACATATAGACTTCACGACAGGCCCAAGGGGTAGGATTTTTATCCCTATTCTGCAGAAAAGGAAACTGCAGCTCAGAGAGGCCAGTAAGAGGTGACACAAGGATACCGATCTAGGTCTTCTGATTATAGTCCTGATACCCTTTTCACTGCACCAGCCAACTAAGATGCTTGCCAACAAGTTCCCCTTATCCCTAATACCACTGTCTTGCCCTTGATTTAGGACCTGAGAGAGAAGAGGGTGGATGAGGAATTGAAGGACAGAATGAAGATGCAGGGGTGGGTGAGGGGGGAAATAGTGGATAGTTTGATGTAATCATTTTGCTTCAGGACTCAAACCTTTCTGGCCCTGCCAAATGCCTCTTCTCCTGCGTATCTAACTGATACTAATTTGTTAAGGATAGAGGATTTTAATATATTAATGTGTAGCTGGAGAGGAGAGTTAGGGTTAGGATTACCCACGGGCAACTGTAAAATAGCCTGAACAATAATAACTAACAATGAGTGTTTACTATGTGCCAGGCACTGTTCTAAGCATTCTATATACATATATTAACTCATTCCATTTTCACAACCACCCAAGAGGCAGGTGTATTGTTATTTATCCCCATTTTACAGATGAGGAAACGGGCACAGGCCAAAGCTTAAGTAACTGGCCAAGGCTACACAGCTAGTAAGTGGCAAAGTTGGAACCCATGCAGTCTGACTCTAGCGGTTAGATGATGCCACTTACGCAGTCATAGAATCTAAGTACGCACAAATGTAAATCATTCTGTGGGTTTGAAGGGAGGTTTTTCATTTGTGTTCCTACTATGACTGCCTCTTTCTCTTGGGGGAAAGAGGAACTATGCCCTTTCCCATCCCCACGAAGAAGGCCGTGTGTCAAAGCACTTATTTAATAATAAACAAATATTGATCAACCACTATGGCCGCGCCTAGTGAAAATGTGGACTCCTCCTTCCCCTCATATTTATGCATATTCCAGACCCCTCCCTTTGTCTTTTTTTTTTTTTTACGCGCCCAGGCTCAGGCGTGTACTCTGAAGACTCCAGCACACTCATGTCTGTACCTGTGGCTTTGTCACATACAGGAATGCGCCGGCCCGAGGCTGCTGTTTTTCATATTGAATGTCTAGCATGTTCACACATCCCGTTAGGAGGGGATATGGAACAGACTATGTGTACCAGTGGACGCACTTGCAAACATGTATTTGCTAGGTGTCGCTGTGCCCAGCCCGGGGCCTCTGTAGCCGGGGTAAATAGCTCAATGTTTTGCTTCTCTGGGTGTTCCAGCGTGTGACGCAATAGCAGCGAACGAGGGCGTCATCATGAAGTCACTGCAGGAGAAGGGGAAAGGGGCGGGAGGGCACTCCCTTGAGGGGAGGAGCCCTTTCACCCGGCCCTCGAAGCGGCACCTTCTCTCTCTTCACCGGCACCTTCTCTCTCTTCACCGGAGTTTCTCTAGAGCCTCCTCCCTCGGATAAGACCTCTTCCAGCTGCCACCACAGAAAGCTCTGTTTTCAATCCGGGGTTTTGAAGTTTAGGCTCTGGTCACTTTGAGAATCTCTGGAAGCCCTGCCCCCAGTTTTAAGTTTCATCCAATAAAGAACCTAAAGGAGGGGCCGGCAGGCGGTTCAGTGACGCAATGCAGATTGATTGGCATTCAGGCCATCGACGTCCTGGATTAGCCCCGAGTTTCGCCAATGCAAAGGCAGGGGTGGGACGGTGCAGGCGCAGAGGATTGGGTTTGGCTGGACTCGATTTAAAGAGACAGAAGCTGTCGGGGTCCAAGAAGACGGTACCCACGACCCTCCCCCCAAGTCCTTGGGACCACTTGGGTCCCCAAAGCTGGGGAGATGGTTTGCGGAGGCTTTGCCTGCTCCAAGAATGCGCTGTGCGCGCTCAACGTAGTCTACATGGTGAGGTTTGGGAGGTGGGGGAAGCTTCAGGGCGGAAAAGCGAGCAGGGAGAATCTCTAGGGTACTTCCGATGGGGAGAGGGGTGTACTGGGGATTCCGGGAAGATTCCCGGGAACTTCCGGCGAAGAGGGAATTCCTGGGGACTTCCGTGGGATGAGGGGAGACTTCCGGTGACCAGAGGGTTTGTCTGGGGGTGGGGGTAATGAACTGAAGGCTGTGGGCATAAAGGCCCAGCCCTCCCTCTTGTGAACTTAAGTTTCTCCCAAATAGAAGTGATGGATGAAGCTAAACGTTCCATTTCATATTCATAGACTCTACTATCCCTGCCACCTCCCACCCCTATCCCAGCCGCTCTGACCTCTGATGGGAGGAACGCCCAGGGATGCTCCCGGCCCTGATAGTAGCACCTCCTCTCCTTCATTCACACAAAACTCAGTTCTTTTTTGTCCAACCCCCGGGCCCCGCCCCCTCCCCCCCGCCCCCGTCATGGCCTTTGGCTGTGGTGCACACTAGAATTCTTTGAGATGTACCTGCTCTGTTTCCCATAGCTGGTAGGCTTGTTGCTCATTGGAGTGGCTGCCTGGGCTAGGGGCCTGGGTCTGGTGTCCAGCATCCACATCATCGGAGGAGTCATCGCTGTGGGAGTCTTCCTTCTTCTCATCGCGGTGGCTGGACTGGTGGGTGCTGTCAACCATCACCAAGTACTGCTGTTCTTTGTATCCTGACCTGAAGTGATGGGGGCACTGGGGCTCGTGGGAGGGCAGAGTCAGCCCTGAGGTAGGAGACCTCAGGGATCTTGGGGATAGGCCTCCTTGCCCCCCCTTATACCATACTCTATGAAACAGAACCTGATGATTTTATTGTTTTCAACTGACATAATTTTATAAGTTCTAGGACTAGATCAGATAGTTATTATAGGTGGAACATAAAAGAATCCAGGACTTTTTTTTTTTTTTCCATAACTCTTCCTGTCAGTACATGATCATCCTTGGTTTGGTCTTCATCTTCCAGTTTGGAATCTCTTGCTCATGTCTGGCTATTAACCTAAGCAAACAGGTAAGAGGGTGCCCTTTCAGGTACTTGATTTCTCTCCGCCTCTAACCTCTAACTCTACTCTGTCTGGCCCCAAAGGTCATTCTTAGGTCCACTACTTCCAGAATCTGGAGCCATTTGCTTCCTCTGGGATGTCTGGCTAATTGTCCATGAGGATGATCCAGAGGAAGTGGACAGTTATCATCGTGTCTGCACCTTTGCTTCTGAAGGATGTTAACGCCCTTTACTCGAACTGGGATCAGCGTGTAGGGGGTTCTTAAGGTTAGCAGCAAATAATTTTCTTCTGCCTGTACCCTCCAGACAGATGTCATCAATGCTTCCTGGTGGGTCATGAGCAACAAGACCCGGGATGAACTGGAAAGAAGTTTTGATTGCTGTGGCCTGTTCAACCTCACAACCCTGGACCAACAAGATTATGCTTTCTGCACTGCAGTGAGTTGATGTGGGAAAGCGTGCAGGGTGCCAGGGCGGGAATGGACTGACACTGGGCAAGGCCAATGCCCAAACTGGCAGATTTGAGTTTGAACGTGATTGCCTCTCTCTAGTAGCTCACTTGTATTGGGGCTGTGTGCTGGTGGGAGTGGTGGGGTGGATACAGAGACTAGAGAATTAGCCAAGTGAGATTCCAGTCTGTAGGGTACTGATCAGGAACTGGAAGATAGTTTCTAGGGTCATTCACCATAGATATTAGGATAGAGCACTGTAGCGATTCTGCATCCTCCAGACACACATACGTGTGTTTTATCCTCAGATCTGCAAGAGCCGGAGCCCCACATGCCAGATGTGTGGAGAAAAGTTTCTTAAGCATTCCGATGAAGCCCTGAAAATCCTGGGGGGCGTTGGACTCTTCTTTAGCTTTACAGAGGTAACATTCTCTAGTTCCCTTATGTCCTTTCTCTGCATCTCTAAGGCTTAGCCCCAGAGATTCAGAATTGGTGCTTATCTCTTTCCCTTTGCTTCTACAGATCCTTGGTTTGTGGCTAGCAATGAGATTTCGGAATCAGAAGGATCCTCGAGCCAACCCCAGTGCCTTTCTATGAGACTTTGGATCCTTCTGACTTCTCTCCTGCTGTCTGCTTTCCCTAAGCTTTTTCTTCCTCCCTTAGGGAAAACCTGGGGTCTATAGCCCTTTTTGTTTGAGAAAAAGGAAAGGCCCTTTGCCATGCTCCCTAAAGATGACTGAATAGCTAGGCTTTATGCCTTGACATGTTTTGTTGGGAGTAAGATTATAAGGAATAAAGAAAAACCTTCCTTCCTCTCTCCCTAAGTGAATATGGGAAGCTCCTGGCAGTGCATGAAATGGGATGGGGGTTGGAGTCATTCCTGGCTGTTTCCCCTCTTCTCCCTTCCACATACTAGACCATCTCAACACATCTTTGCTCCAAGAGTAAATCAGGGACAGATCCAGAGAGAAAACCAAGCACTCTTGTAATAAGCAGGACTCGGTTTGGGGAAGTTCAGTGAATATAAAAATAAAAACCATTTAAACTCCATAATCAAAGAAGCAACGTAAGTGCCTTTTCTTCTCTTTAGTTAGTTGAGGGGCTCCACTGACTATGTAGGCCCTGTGACCTAAGGAGAATGTGCGGGGAAGTTCCATCTTCCAAATGGTTTTTTCAAATCCCCAAACGGCAAAGCCAACCAGAGAAAGAAACAAACATTAAAAAAAAAAAAAAAAAAAAAAAGACCAGATTTCTTTGTTTTGTTGTTTTTCCTGTATAAAAAAGGATCCCAATATCAAGGTATAGGGAAGGGGAAGAACAAGGGACATACCCCTTGGCGTAAGGACACAGAGGGGGCAAGAGGAGGATAAGCCTCAAAAGGAGGGGTGGGAGGAGAATGTCATTAAGGCAGCAAAATATTCTCTATAAAAAGTTGGAGTCGTATCCATAGCCTCAGAGATGAAGGCAGAGGATCACCTTCTTAGTGGGGGGCTCTCCACTCAAATGTTCAAAATAAGGGAAATGTTGGCTTCTCTTCTCTTGGTTCTGCCGCAACCATTCCATGGCTCACTCTGGGTTACCTTCTGCCTTATGTAGATAGGAGTGCTGCAGGGCTCGGAAGGCAGAGATCCGCTTGTGTGGGTTAAAAGTCAGCATCTCCTGAGAAGGGAGGCAAAGGTCAGAAAACCATGAAAAAAGACTTCCGCTCACCCCCAACAATACCTGGGATGAGCTATTTTCTATATCCCTCTTTGTGGACAGCCATTCAAAGCAGCAATAAAAACTAGCCCATCCACCAACAAGTCTCAGTAACCACCCTGTGTTTGGGTCCCTTTTATCCTGCTCCATTTTCCACCCCAATCTCACCCCATGCCCACGCCCAAGCCCAGTACCAGCAGCAGCTGTGCCCCAGACTCTTCCATCTCAGGTACCACCGACTGCACGGGGCGGGGCCCTCTGGGGGAAAAGGCTCCTCGGGGTAGAGACACATCTCGGGGCCAGTCATCCTCTGGGGGCAGTCCGATCAGGCTATGGGGAACAGGAGAATTCTGGTCAGGAGGGCCCTTCTCCAGCCCCCATCTCCAGGGGCAGAGCCAGTTGCCATTCAGGGCTCAGCAGAAAGAGAAGGACTCAGAATGGAAAACTCTTCCCCTCTGCAGGTCACTTACTCAAAGATTTTGCCTAACTGGTCAGCTTCAGAGTTTCCACAGAAGAGAGGCCTAAGGTGAAAAGAGACATTCATTTAGGTAGCAGTCATTTTCAAAGATACGGTAGTAGAACGACTACTGCTTAGTGGCTCAAAACATAGGGTAAGAAGAATAAAGGGTTACGAAATTCCTAATTCCACGACATTTCAGAACTGCTGGTTACGGACAAGATGGCCAGTAGAATTCAAGTGGAAGAGTGGGCAGGGTATGGATGTGGTTTATGAATATGAGATTTGGGAAATTCAAGATGTTCAGGATACTTGGGCCCCATACTTTCGACGAAACATCTCTGCAAAGATACAGCCAACACTCCACATGTCCACAGGTGTTGCATATGTAGACTGCAAAAGAACTTCTGGAGCACGGTACCAGAGTGTAACAACCTAACGGGAATAAGAAGAGTGGATGAGGGCCCTACGAATTACCCTGAAGCACAACTGCTTCACTAAAATCAAGGATGTGAAAAACGCATGCCTTCTCAACTGCTATGGGCAATCACCCTCCTCCCCCAGCCAGAACCCATTTTGGCTACCATCATTCTACTGACCACAGGTGTAAGTGCCATCTGGTAGCTGTAGATTCTGGCCAGGCCAAAGTCGGCCAGCTTGACTGTCCCACCACTTGTCACCAGAATGTTCTCTGGCTTCAAGTCTCGATGAACGATGCAGTTGGCATGAAGGAAATCTAGGCCTCTTAGAAACTGGCGCATCAGATCCTGGTTTGGAAGGGAGAGGTACAGAGAAACTGAACTAGGCACCATACCTGAAATCACAACAGATGCTACTACAAAGGTCCCAATCTACCTCTCAGTGTCTGCCCACCTTACTCACCTTGATGGTCTCCACTGGCAAGCCTGGCGGGGGTGCCTTGTCCAGATATGTCCTTAGGTCTTGGTCCACATGCTCAAACACCAGGGTCACTTTGGTCTCCCGGTCAGTTCGGGCTGTGGCACAGACGTCCATCAGCCTGTCCGGAACAAATGGTAACTCACTGTGCAATCATCTTTGACCCAACGTGGCCTCCTCTATTCCCTCAGGGTCCCCACTTCTCTCCTGACCACCACTCCACACCTATAGGTTGTCTTTTCCCTTTTACTACCCACTCCCAACCCTCCATCTTCTCACCGCACAACATTGGGATGCTCAAAAGCCTCCAGCCGCCGCAGTAAAGCCACCTCACGGACTGTGCTGATGGGCAGGCCCCCTCCAGCACCTCCTCCATTGGGGACTCTTACGCTCTTGAGGGCCACAAAGTGGCCACTGTGGGGATCACGGGCCTTATACACCGTCCCATAGGCACCAACACCAATCTCAGCCACTGGCTCATATCGAGGGGTAGCCATTCTCAGACCAGAGGAGACCCTACAATCACAGAGACTCCTACCACCGAAATTCCTTCCACAGTTCGGATGGTATGAGCCTGCAGCAACAAAGTGACTCCCACAAAAGACATCACAAAGACAACACCAACAGCATCCCGTCCCTTTCCCAAACTTCCATGATGCCGACTCCCAGGTAACACAATGACCCTAACCCCAACCCCTCCAGCCGCGTGAGCTCCTAGAATAAAAAAATGCATTTTCCTTTGGGGCGATCGAACCCCGCACAAGGGAAATGCCACACGACACACTCCCTACATCGAAGACCCTACACCCAGTCCCTGAAATTGCACCTTCCTACGGCCACAAAGGAACATATCACACCCTGCCCCACTTCCCGCCCTCGAGCGACCCTTCCATAACCAACCCGCGTAGGAAGCCGTGGAGGGCGAGTATGGTCTCCATTCCTGGAAAGGGCTACACTTACCTCACCCCGTGTCTGGAGCTGCGGGGGCGGCCCGTTATCGGGGCCCCGGAGCTGGTTCCTGCCGCGCCATACACTAGAGCTCGGTTCGGGGCAGCTGGACGCTACGGGCCCGACCATAGACACAGGCCACAGGCTAGAGCGGCCCCCTTTACCCCCACCCTCACCATGTGACCAGCTGCCAAAGAGGCGAGCGGAAATCGAGGGGGCGGGGAGAACGCCGGACGTTCGGAGCACGTGACCATACTACTCAGGCGCAGAGGGGCAGCCGGGAGCGGCTTTGAACGGCAAGGGGGCGGGGAGGGGAAAGGGGCGGAGGGGCGATGGCAACCACGTGATCTGTTGCTATCACACGTGACCGCTTGACATTGCTTGGAGAAGCAGAGGTGTGGTTACGCAGCAGGGCACGTGACTGGCTGCCGTAACTCTGGATCGGGGCTGGGGCGGGAGAAGAGAGAGGGTGGAGTCCAACGCGATGCCATGGCAACCTGGGCCACCCAGGATTCCCAACACTGGGCTGGAAGCCGAGCCTGAGTGCATCTCCAGTCTCACTACCCGTCTCTCACTCTCTCTCCTTGTGGGGAGGTGGGTCGGGGGACGGGAGGTGGTGCTGTCGTCTTTCTGCTCCACCGCTATCGGAAAAACATATTCTCATTTGTGTCTTTGTTTCACTCATTCAACAAATTTTTACTGAGTGCTGCTTCCTGTATTTATGTGGGGGTTTTGTTTGTGTCCTTTAAACTAGTGATAAGGCTATCTATAAAGATATAGCCACATATTTTATATGTGGTCATATAAAATAGGGAGTAGACAGTACCCATATGAGGGCGAAACTAGGATTAAAGGGTTGATGGAAGGAAGATTAATACAGTAATCCAACAGGAAGAGTGGCAAGGTAATACCCTTCCCTCTTCCCAACTTTCACCTCTTCCTGGGAGTGTTAAGGCAGAGACCCGATACCTTCTGGCAGAGAAGTTATTGATGAGCTGGAAACAGGAATACTTGACCTTTAAGGTTCTTTTCTGCAGTAAGATGCTATGACATATGTGTGTATGTGTATATATGTGTGTATGATACTATATACAGCACATATAGATGGATAGATATAGGAGTGAGCATGTGCAAGGAAGTTACCACCACGCTGCATGAAAATGACTGTGCCCTTCTGCAAAACCTTGTGACTCCTTATATGGGGTCATTGTGTTTCCCTTTTTTCCCCTGTTGCAAGCTTTCTTAGCCCTTGCCCCTCCTCAGAACAGACTTTTCCCAAATAACCTCTGTTTACAGACATCTAGGTAGACAACAGGCAAGTTTCTCTGACTTCCCTTGTCTTACCGGCTCCAACTTCTTTATCTCCCAACCCTTTGGGGGAATGGGAATAAGGGAAGGAAGGAATCAGTGTCTCATTTATGATAAACTGTCTAAAATCTGAAACCATTCTATTACTCTATTTGCTCTCCTTGTGCCCTAACTTCTATTCTCCTTAACCATCTGCCTGAGGATGTAAGAGTTCAGGCTTGAGATTAATATAAACCATGCTCCAGGGCAAAATGGAAGACATGTCAGTATAGATTCCCTCTCTTTGCCTTCTGCTGGTTGTAGTTCTGGGCCCTTGCTGGCAAAGGCAACTAGGACACTAGTAAGAAAAATCTCAAGGTCCTAACTGGCTAAGGGGCTTGTGAGGGGTATGTTTCATTGGCTATTTTGCTAGGATTGGTTGGTTTGTAAACCTTCTGGAAGGCTGTCTCTGAGTGTGTCAAACTTCCATCCCACACCAGCAGGGTCCACTTTAGCCTCACCCTCCACTCACTGTTTTTAAAATAGAAGTCATCCTCTATGTTGACTTGGGTTCCAGCCCCTTTTTCTGATTCACTCATCCACCATCCAAAATATTGGAATGCTTCATAAGAGCGTTACTCTCCTTAATCACTTTCTGTTGAGGATCCTTAGTTTGACAGTCTGTCCCTGATTACATACCCTCCCTTCTCCTGTTAATTACTTTTACTAATTAGTTTTTTCCATTGTGTTTGATACAGTGAGCTCCCCTGGAATTCATTTTCTCTAAGCACTGAAAAGGAGAGGAGAGGGAGGATGTAAGTGTAAGGCAGAAATAATGTGATGAGGGGGTACAACTGGTTCTCAGGGGCAAGACCCCCATAAAAGCAAAGAGCTAAGCATGTGTGTGTGTTACGTATTGTTCACTTCAGTTGCAGTGGTGGTGGGTCAGGAGAATACCAGGAAAGACACTCATCCCTTTAGCACTCCAGTCTCCCTTGCTCACTCACCTCCCTCACACATTACAATTACACACTTCTGTTTCTCTTACAATCCAATTCGATCCCTTACACACTCATCTCTTTTCCATAGTCACACACTGTGCACACTTTTCAGTCTTTTGTGTAAAAGTGTTTATTGCTTGCTCACTCACCTCTGACAGTTGCATAGCTTGCTTTCTTTGCACACTCCCATTTTGCACAAGCCTCTCCCTCCCTGGTGCACCTGCGTCTTTGACCACTCACCTTCCATCCTCACCCGCTCACCCCCCCCAACACACACACACCCATTCACACACCTATTCTACCCTAGCGCACACCCCTTTCCTTGGCCACTCCCCTCCCTCCACCCTCCCCCGGGCTCGCACACTCGCCCCCGCCTCTGGGGACACCTGCTCGTGCCGGGCAGGGCGGGGATGCGCAGCCGCGGCCACTTCTCCTCCTCTCCCCTTCCCCGCCCCGCCCCTCCCTCCATCCCTCACCGGCTCCCCGGCTCCCGCCCCGCCCGCCCGCCGCTCCGGGGGGGTCTCCGCCGCCGCCGCCGCCGGAAGGAGCCGCCATTTGCCACCGCCGAGCGCACGGGCCGAGCCGGAGCCGCGAGCCGGGGCGGGACTGGGGCCAGGAGGACGGCGATGGGGGGCGGCCCCGCCGCAGGAGGACCGGGGCGCGTAACCCCGGGAGCCCGGCCCGCTCCGGACCCGGACCCGCGGGGCGCGACACCCTGAGCCCCCCTCCCCGCCCACTGCCCCGGCCATGGCTGCCCGCCCCGCCGCCCCCGGGCCGCCAGCCCTCTCGGCCCCGCAAGCCCCGCAACCCCGGCTGTGGCAGCAGTGAACGGCTCTCGCAGGCCCCGAAGACCCCGGCCGGGCTCGGCTCTCCAGCGCGCGCCCCCTTCCCGGCCTTGTCCTCTCCCTTCCCCCAGCCGCCCGAGAGTCCCCCTTGCACGCCGCCCCCCGTCCCCCGGCGCCCGGACGATGCTCAAGTCTCGGCTCCGCATGTTCCTGAACGAGCTGAAGCTGCTGGTGCTGACGGGCGGGGGGCGGCCCCGGGCCGAGCCGCAGCCCCGGGGGGGCGGGGGAGGCGGCTGCGGCTGGGCGCCCTTCGCCGGCTGCTCGACCCGGGACGGCGACGGAGACGAAGAGGAGTACTACGGGTCCCAGCCGAGGGTCCGGGGCCTGGCCGGCGACAAGGAGCCGCGGGCCGGACCCCCGCCGCCGCCCGCGCCGCCGCCGCCGCCCCCGGGCGCGCTGGACGCCCTGTCGCTCAGCAGCAGCCTGGACAGCGGGCTCCGAACCCCCCAGTGCCGAATCTGCTTCCAGGGCCCGGAGCAGGTAAGGCCCGGGCATCCGGCGGCGCAGGGAGGGGTGGGGCGCGCACCTGGGGCGCCCGGGGAGACCGGGAACAGGGGGCGGGGCCTGAGGAAGCTGGGCGGGACCCAGCGCCCGGGGTGGAAATGGAGTGAGGTTGGGGGGCTTGGCTGGAGACTCCGGGAGCGCAGATTTGGCGTGGAGGGGGATCAGGGGTCCCCAGGAAGGGGTGGGGCTTTCTCCTGGGAGGGCTCAAAATCTCTCCCCTTAACCGAGACACCCTTTCTCGCCCACTTCTCTCACCCCAGGGTCTCTGTAGGCTGAGAGGGCCTATCCTCTGGGAGGTGGGCAGAGAGGAGAATGCTTCTTGAAGGGAGGGGTCCAGCCGGTGCCCTTGCCTTCCTCGATAGTTCTCTACGTGGGGCACTTTTCTTCACTTCCCATTCCACAACTTTCCTTCTCATTCCGAAGAATATCCTCTGTTTAAATGTTATGGACAAAGTTGTCCCGGGATAGTATGGGGGGGGTCTCTATGTCGTGAGAAATTACTCTTTGATTAAAGGGGAACACCCTCCGCTCACACCCTTAGGATTTCCCCCTTTTTGATACGTGGAAACTGAGGACTGTAACCTATCCCAGTCTGCACCACATCTGTGAAATACTTTACAGTGATGGGGAGTGGGTTAGGAAGGCATGGCTCAGAAGCTCTGACCCTGCCCTCCTGTCTCTCCAGATCCTAAGTGGTAGCCTTCCATTTGGGAACCCTTAAAGAGCACCCTCCTCAAACTCTAGAAACAGGGAAGACCCAGTATTCACCGGCCAACCCTCCCCCGCCCCCCCAGTCCCTTTCCATGTCTCTTCTATTGAGCCAGGGAAGTTTACCTTGAGCTCTAATTTTTTTCTTTTAGGCTGCAGCCTTAGCTTCTTGCCCTGTTTTGGGTGAAAAGCCTGATTTTTTTTTTTTTTTTTTTTTAAGGTGGGAGACTGACCTGGAGAGGAGGTTTTCCTCTCCTGTAGTGGAGAGGACTGGGGTCGGGTGGCGATAGCTGACAGGAACCCTCCTCACTCTTCCTCCAGGGGGAGCTCCTGAGCCCCTGCCGCTGCGACGGCTCCGTGCGCTGCACGCACCAGCCCTGCCTCATCCGCTGGATCAGCGAGCGGGGCTCCTGGAGCTGTGAGCTCTGCTACTTCAAGTACCAGGTCCTGGCGATCAGCACCAAGAATCCCTTGCAGGTGAGGTGCAAGGGGAGAACTCTGAGACTGGGGCAAGGGCCTTTCAGCAATTAGAATCAAGGACCCTCCAGGGAGCCTATTTATCCATTTACTCTTGCTTTCGAAGTCACCCTCCCTACCATTGCCATAATTTAGTATCTGTCTGTAAATCCTCCCTTCCTTCATTTACTCACAAAGACATTTATTGGGCGCCACCTGTGTTCCAGGCCCTGGGATAACAAAAGAGGAAAAGATGGTAGTGCTGCTGCTACTGCTGGTAGCAAACATGTAGAGTTTTCTATGGGTCAAGTTCTTGGTGTGTATTAACTCTTTTAATCTTCATAATAATCCTAATAGTTATGTTACTCAGCCAGTAAGTAATGGAGTAAGGATTTGGAATTCAAACCTAGATGGTCTGGCTTCAGAGCACCTGCCTGATCATGCCTTTCTAAAATAAGACAGAAAATGGTCTCAATGTGAGAGATGCCACCTTCTAGATGTGATCAAGGCACAGAGAAGCAGATTGTTAATCCTGCCTGAAGGGTTTCAGGAAGGCTCCTGGTGCATCCTTCTATTCAGGGCCACCCTAATCTGGCCCTCTGTCTCTTTCTGTGACTTTTTGGAGCCTTTTCTCCCACACAGTGGCAGGCCATCTCCCTGACGGTCATTGAGAAGGTCCAGATTGCAGCCATAGTTTTGGGCTCACTCTTCCTTGTCGCCAGCATCTCCTGGCTCATCTGGTCCTCACTCAGCCCTTCAGCCAAGTGGCAACGGCAAGATCTGCTTTTTCAGATCTGCTACGGCATGTACGGCTTCATGGATGTCGTCTGCATAGGTGAGGATGCCTCTCTCTCTCTCTCACCTGCTCAGCATCTTCCTCCAACTCACACACTTAATTTTCCCTGCCCACTCCCTCAGTTTCATGGCCACATTTTCTACCATTGGGGGCCTTTAGGGCTATCTCCCTTACCTGCTTCTCCAGGCCCTTTGCAAATCCTGTCTCCTCCCCCTGGAGAAATGCTTGCTTAAGTACCTCTGGCCTAGGTCTGGGCAGCAGTTGACCCTGGATTTCTTATCCTCTTGCTCAGGCCTCATCGTCCATGAAGGCTCCTCTGTCTACCGTATCTTCAAGCGCTGGCAGGCAGTAAACCAGCAGTGGAAGGTCCTGAATTACGACAAGACCAAGGACATAGGAGGAGATGCAGGGGGAGGGACGGCAGGGAAGCCGGGCCCCAGGACCTCACGGACGGGCCCCCCCACTGGGGCCACCGGCCGCCCCCTGGCCGCCCAGCGCATGCGGACGCTCTTGCCTCAGCGCTGTGGTTACACAATCCTGCACCTACTTGGACAGCTGCGGCCACCAGATCCCCGTTCCAGTTCCCATTCCGGCCGCGAGGTTGTCATGAGGGTCACCACAGTCTGAACTAAACTCCAGGAGTGGGGATCTTGAAACAATGCATCAGCCAGAGATAAGCTGTCATGGCTGCTGGAGGTACCACCTGGACAAGGTGTTTGGGGCACACTGCCCCACCACTGAGGATCTCTGTGGGCAGCCTCAAGCTGGAGACATTGTCTGGCCTCTACTGCCCACTGGGTAGAGGTGCCTGGATGACATTCCAGCCCCCAGTGACAGCTCCCCACACTCATATTGCGGCAGCCAGTGGGCAAGTGGGGAGAGCATCTTTTCTTCCCTAGAGAACCGTCCTTACCTCAGCTCCTAGGGCCTCCAGCCCCCCAGCTCCACTATGGTGACTTGGTGAAGGGGGTCCAATGTGAGAAGAAAGGGGCTGTAGACCCCCCCCAATCCCCACCCCATGGCCACAGGGCAGCTGGCAATAAGACTAGTGTACATTGACCTCCCATTCCCTGCATGAGGGTGGGGGTACTTCCCCCTGCTCCACCCCCCCATTGCATGGGGGGAGGGCATAAAGAATCATTTATATGCACGTGGAGACTCCTTTCTCATCTGGGGCTTTTCTGGAGGGTTGCGAGGTGTGGGCAGTTTTCTCTGCAGAGGCTGCAAATCCCAAATGCAGCCGTGGATTCTGAGTTGGAGGTGTAACTCCCACTTGGTGGTGAGTAATTCACATTGGCTGCCAGGTGGCAGTGCTCAGAAGTATCTAAGGGGTGGACCTGACACCTGCGTGTCGTGTGATTCAGAAAAAAGTCTCTCCACCGTGGTTTTCCTGTCTACCTCATAAGGTTGGACTGAGGATAAATGAGGGATAGGTTGAATGCCATTGCAAAGAAAATCAGTGATGGCATAAAAAGATCTCTAGACTAGTTGATGGTCCATTTATTTCAAATAATAGCTGGTTAACAAATTCCAAAATGTTTTTCATCTGGAGTTGCACAGAGCCTTGGAAATTTGTGTTAAATGTTATAACGGATATGGAGAATACGAGGGGAAATACACACTGCACATGTGAAGGATAGTGGTTATTTGCAAGAATGAGAGCTCCTCCAGCCCCCCTAAACACTGGGGAATGGGAAAGGCTGGAGCAATCCTTCTAGTTCTGGGGATCTTGTGGGTTCCAGTAATCCCTACCAGGTAATGTGCTCACCCAGAGAAGTGGTATGCAGTGAATTTGGGCTCGTTTGGAGTAAGACAGACAGAACTTCCTAGAGTTATGAGTCTCCAACCCCAGTTTAAGCTACTGCTATGGCAATTCAGGGTCACAGGTCTGATCCTGCTGTGTCCCAGCTAGTGATATTAACTGGAAGATGTGCTTGGAGGCAGCAGCATAGAGGGCTGTTGTTTATAGAGAAAAGGTTTGGGAAGGACTGGTTAATTGTCAGCCTAAAGCCTGGTCCCTTTCTCTCGAGGCCTTGGGGCTGTGTACTATATGAATGATGTCTTTTACGTGAACTATCCATCAGCAATTAAAATAATTACTTCATAACATTGCTTAAGTCGGATCCAGAGGCCTTTCCTATTATTGGTCCTTCTCTCAGGGAAGATTCTGCTCTGCCTTCTCCCTGGAGATGTTTTGGGGACAGTGCTTCTCTATTAAAGGTCACATATCCTTGCCCAGGAAATGGTCTTCTCCATCCCTCTCCAAAAGGGGTCTTGGTCGCTGTCCACGGTGCTGGCACCCAGACTCGCCTGGGAGTATAGGAACCAAAGCTGTACTTGGGTTTGAATTACCTGGAAGTGTTGAAGTGCATCACCTCCAACCTTGGAGGGGGTCAAAGTGGAGAGAGGACTGAGGCTGAGCCTCCTATTTTTCCAGTGGGAAATCGTTTCCCAGAGAGATAACCTTCCACATTCCCCACCTGGGGAGACAGAAGGGCCAGACTTCACTGACTTGCCTTTCACAGAATAGCTGGTGGAGACCAAAAGGGAGACAGTAAATCCAAGTGACTCTTAGTTCTTATCCTGGCAGACAGGGCTTAGGTAGTTATGACACAGTTGAGGCTTGTGCCAAGCCTGGGCTGTCCCCTACAATGGCCGCACATGGAGGCTCAGACATGCCCAAGAGCGTAGGCACGCTTACACACAAACACACTGCCTCTGTTTCCACCCTGCGTCCTAAAACGAGGCCCGGTGAGACAGTATGTTCCCCTCCCCTTCAGGACCATTGGAGGTCTCGGTATGGAAGTTGGGAACAGCGATCTGTAGGGTCCTCTCTCCTTTCCTTTTTCCACCTTTAAGAGATTCTTGTCCAGGAGAGGGGTCATAAGAACTGCTGCCCTCCTCAAGTGAGCCATCCTATTTTCCCATGAGGAGTGTGGGTGTGCAAAATCTTCCCCAGTGATTCCAGGGGAAAGAGTCTGAGAGGAAGCTGGGCGTTACTTCCCCTCCAAGCTCAAAACTGCTAAAAATCGGGTCACTTAGGTTCAAGTTGAGCTTAGTGGTAGGGAATGGGAGTGGAGACTGAGAACCCAGTAGAGAAGGAGCTGAGAGGAGGGGCAATAAGAGCACACAAACCTTGGTCTCTGCACAGGGCCTTGGGTATACCCTGCCCCTCTGTAGGTCTTACATAAATAGATACCTCCCAGAAGGCCAGTGGCTGACGGAGTTTCTGCAGTCAGGGAGCCATGTCTAGGGCAGGGGCTGAGGTGGTGAGAGGAGGGGGAAGTGTGAATTGAAATCTCTGTCTCCATCTGCTAATTGGAATGGAGGGGAGCAGGAGGAAGGGGAACAAGTCCTGACACGGGGAGGGTAAGCTAGGCTACAGAAGGAGCTGCAGGGAATGTGCTGAGAGATGTATTTGGATGGAAGATCAGTTAATCTATATACATCACAAGGGGAGAACGGAGCCCAGCCTCTGGGGGGCCAGATAATGCTGACTCAGGGAAACAGAGGCTCCTGCTGCCCACCCCTCTTCTCCTGCCTCGGTGCCCTAGGCCTCCTGGCCACCTCCACACTTGGCTTTCATCTTCTCTGTCTGACTTCACTTCTCTGTCTGTATCCCTGTCTTTCTCTGAAGGAAGTTGTCTTGGAGCAACTTCTCCAGAGAGGACAGAGTGTCCATGCTAGGGTGTCCTTTGGTCCTGGCACTCCAGGTTCCAAAAGCACTCTTCTACCAAAGAGTCAGCCGTCTCTGGCCATCTCAGCAAGTCCCTATCCACCCTTTTAACAGCCTAACCCTCGAAGCTACTTTTCACCACCATCCCCTTCATCTCTTACAGGGAGCCAGACTTGGCTGTTCCCACTACAGATAGAAATGTGTCTGGCAAAACTGACCAAACATAAAGAATAATTTAATAATTAGTTCTCTTCATGTACCTGTGATAGTCCCCCAAATTTTTATAAAATCTTGTCCTCAATGATCTCTATATTTTGGAGATAATTAAATGTAGAATGACAAGTGAATAGTAAGTTCTGTGGTTAGTCTTTAAGATTAAGTTAAGATAATAAAAAATTAAAGAAAATTGCTAAATTACCTAGACCACAGTTCTGTAATTTAAATCACTGCCTCAATCTATGACGGCCGTAATTACTAAAAGTATCTTCATTAATTAAGAAAAGAAAAGAAATGTGTCTGGGTTTGTGATGCAAACCATTCTCCCAGGTGTCTAGACCTCCCACTGTTATGGGGTCACTCCCAGGACCCAAGAAACCAAAGTGGAGGATTTGTATGATGGTCTGGCCTCCAGGTCTTATAGGAAATGAGAGTGGAAAATAAGTCAGTCAAAAGTCAAGGATGGAACATTCAATTTTTTTTTTTAATTTAAAAACTGAATATTTAAAAACTTCAATAGATAAAAGGAAGGCTTGGGCAGGGACAGGTCCAAAGATATCTCTGCCTGTGACCTAAATGGTGGGACAAGCCAAACCTAATAGTGACCAGAGAGCCAAGGAGAGTTTTGTAAAAATCATACACCAGGTGAGGATAGACTCACCTTCCTAGGGGCAAGATGAGGAAGGAGCAGGGTAGACAGAGCCTGGTAAGCTGCTTATCCCTTCTGCCACATTGCCCAAATACAATCTGAGAATCGATATGGTGTCAACCAGTCAGGGATAGGCCCTGGCAGGGTGTATAAAGACAGAATAAGACCTCATCCTTCCTCTCAAAGAGCTCACATGCAAGGAGAGAGGATCAACCAGGTGCAGACCAGATGCACAATTACTTAGCTCATGCCGTGATAAGTGCTTAGCCAGCAGCAAGAGTGAATACTGTGAAGCCCCAAAAGGCCAGTGGTCGAATTCTTCCTCAGGCCACCCAGCATTACTAGTTAAAATCAGAGTTGGCCCTTGAAGGATGCATATGATTTGACCAGAAGGGCTAAGCAGGCAAATGGACCATGGTTTTCTCAGGGCTTGCTGGGTCAGGCCAAGTGCATATTTCACACCTTGATCAGGGCTGCTTCAAGCACTTTGCTATGGTCTTTCTAAGCAGTTTGGTCAGATAGGCCACAGGGGAATACACGTATCTTGGCCTTGTGCCTGATAAGCCCCTATGATGGGAGAAACAGTGATGATGACAGTGTGCTTCCACGGGACTATCTGTCCACAAACTGTAGGTTGATGCTCCTCTCAGGCACCAGGACAGTCTGGGTCATGGGTCTGACTGGGGCAGCACCTGGCTCAGGCTGCACCTCAAAGTGGATCAAGATCTGGAAAGGGAGGAGGAAGGCTATCACCATGGGAGGGGTCGACAATGGTGGGCTTGATTGGTAATGGGCATTATTAGTGTTAGGATGGTCAGTGTTGGAATGGCACCTGTGGCGGGTAGGGGATGTCTTAGTTAATGATGGTAAGAGATTGTGGTAGGGAAAAAGATAGTCCAAATACCCTCACTCACCCTCCAGGCCTATGATGGGACTGACATATTTCAGAGGATTAGGTCTCCCAAGTCTTATATATTTTCCTATGCCTATCAGGAGAAGAGCTCATGGCTTTAGAGCTCCAGTCTGGGGAAGGTAGAAGATCTAGATCACTCACCTGGGCCAAAGCCATTTGCAGCTCAAGCTCTGCCAGGCGTCTCCCCATGCAGCTGCGCTTGCCAAAGCCAAAGGGGAGAGAGGCAAATGGGTGGGAGGCTGGGCCATCCCCTAGCCAGCGAGCTGGACGAAAAGAATTTGGCTCTGGGAACTGGGCGGGATCCCTTGAAGTGGCATAGTGACACAGAGTGACCAGCGTCTGGTGAGGGAGGAACACAAACTTGTCAATCTGGGCCCAGGAACGCCAGGAGGGAAGTAGAGAACAGGATCTCTGGACTGGGACGAAGGCAGGCTCTGGTTGGTTGTGATGTGGAAGTTTTCTGGGGCTACTTTTCTCTACTGCCCCATTATATCCTAGAGAGGCATTGAGGCCAAGAAGAGGGTTTGAAGGGCTTATTGGGAGTATTTGAGAACAGGAACAGTCCCAAGGTAGTGAGGGATGGCTTAGCAAAAGGGGCCCATAGGCTCTACTCACATTTTTGGGGATAATATATTCACCCACACAAATGTCTTTGTCTGGGACACGGGAATTTCCAGGTACCACAGGGTACAGTCTGGATTGCAGGGCACAAAAGGGAGACAACAAGATGAAGCTGGGGGCTATAGCCTCCCTCTCATGCCCACCCCCCCAACTTCCAAACCCATTCTTGGCCAGGCGTAAAGTACCATTTTCCTCTGATCTCTCTCCCTGCTCCCATCCGCTAGCTGCTTCCCCAGCCCTTCCCCAGCATCTTCTCTGGCTCTCCTCTTCTGCCCCCTCACCTTAGCACTTCCTTGATCACAGCCTTCAGCAGGGGCATTTGCGACAGAGCAGTGGCTGAGGGGTGGGCACTGGAGCCGGGGCCCAGGGCAGCTGTGATCTCAGAACGGAGTGCCGTCTGGACTTCGGGGTGCCGAGAGAGTTCATACAGAGCCCAGGAGAGCGTGTTGGACACCTGAGGGGACAGGTGAGAGCGTCAGAGGGGTTGAGAGTAGGGACCCAGCATAGGGGGCAGAATCTGAGGCAGTCTGGAACCCAGGAGGTGCTAAGCCAAGCTGGCCTGGAGGACCATAATGGATCCCCTGCAGCAGGAAAATGGCCCCTGAGATTGAGGAGGTTAAGCTGCGGAAGTGGGACTCCCAACATGGAGGGAGGACCTCACCGTGTCCACTCCAGCTAGCAGCAGCTCTGTCACATTCCCTAGGATGGACGGGGCAGGCAACTCTTCCCGGAACAGGAAGTAGGTCAGGTGCGCCCCAAATCCCGTGTCCCCCTCAGACTTTCCCTGGCTCCTCATGGCTACTTCGGCCTCTCGCCGCTCCACGTGCTGCTGGGCTGCGGGCACAGGGGACAGGGACGCCTCACTACCGCTGAACAGCTCTATGCTCCCCCACTCCTACTTCATTTCTGTGCTTTACCAAATGCAAACATCTGGTCCCAGTCTCGGCAGAGGCGGCCCCAGGGTCCGGGCACGAGGCGGTGCAGCCAACCGGGCATCGCCATGGTCAACAGTGTGGACACAAACACCGATCTCACCGCGCGGATGAAGGTCTCTGTGTCTGGCGGCACTTCGGCCTCCAGGCAGCCGAGGCGGGAACCCAGCAGCACCGCAGCGATGCCTGGCCGGGAGGGGGCGCTGTCAGGGCACCGGGAGACCCGGACCGGGTGCCTCCTACGCTTGCCCCTGTCTAGGGACTCACCTTCTAGTCCAAACTTGTAAAACTCTCCTGCCACGTCTCGAACCAGGGCGGGCGGCCCAGCGCCCAGTCCCCGCTGGCGCCGCAGTCGCCTCACAAGGTCACCGACCACGTCGTGCAGGGTCCCGGCATAGCGGGCGGCCGCCTGAGGCCGGAGGAGGAGCGGGGCCAGGAGGCTGCGGAGCCTCTGCCATTCTTCGCCTTCCCTGCGGGGGTGCGGAGAAGGGGCGCATCAAGGCAGACGGTGGTGTGTAGAGGCGGCCCGACGGGGCTGGCTGCGCTTGAGAAGGAGCGTGTTGGGCTGGGGTGGCCAGGAGGGAGACTGCGTCTGTTCCCTTGGGGTACAGAAACCTGCCCCTGCCTGCACCCGCTTTCCATCCACCCTCCTCCCCTCCTCCTCGTTACTCATTTCCTGCCCTGGAGGGGCCTGGGTTCCTGGGTAAGCTGAGTCACAGAATCTTACTTTACATCTAGATCCTGGTGCCTCAGCCCCTTCCGTGAGTTCCCAGGATTCTGGCTTCAAAAGAAAAAGAGCGGAAAGCGAGGCGAGAGCCGGGCTCTACCTGAGCTTGGGCGAAACAGACTGGGGTGGAAACCTCGATTTGCCAGAAGGTTGGGGGAAACGACCGACCTCCCTCCACATCCCCAGACTGCCTCCAGACCGGCCACAAAAGAGGAACGCAGCTGGGCGTCGGGGCTTTGGAGCCAGAGGACTCACGCGGTGAGCAGTCCGCAAGCCCGCTGGCGGCGGCGACGGTGCTCCGCCCAGGGTGAGAAGCTGCAGCGTTCGGGCCAGGGTCCCTCCTGTCGTAGCAGCTGCTCGACGAGTGTAGGGGTCGCCACGTACACAGTGCGCACCGTCCCGAAGCTGGCCAACCACACCGGCCCAAAGCGCGCGGCGCCCTGCACCTGGGAGTACAGGAGCAGCGGACACTGGAGACCCGGGCCGGCAACTGCCACCTCGGCTCGTGCCAACGCCAAGGGCGTCGTTTGGGGTTAGAAAGAGGGAGCTTCTGCTCTCAAGCAGTGTAAGGTTCTGGTGCTGCAAACCCCTCCTCCTCTTTCCCTCACTTCCCATCCCTAGGAAGTTTGAGTGTGATTGGCAAAACGGGGGGCTGGCGGGCGGGGGGCGCGGGCGGGGAGGAAGGACTTGGTGCAAAGCTCACATTCTGGATCTCTCCTTGGTCACCTGGGCGGAGAAACCCCTAAAGGTTCCTCACGTGGGCTGTCCATCTCAGGACGAGCCTCCACTGAATGTACAGGAGCGCACTAACTTTAAGCCAAACGTGCCTCCCGCGCACTTGTCCTGGATCTACCGAGTCTCCAGAATTCTGCACAGCGAGAAGGCGCTTTCTGAACGCACTCCTCTGCTGGGTGTTGGGACAGACTCCGCCCCTGGCGAACCACCGACCCCAGTCCCAACTTGTCTTTTCCATAATTCATGGGCATCTGTTCTCACTGGTCCTCCCTCCTACGTTCTGCACTAGGGTGTTGTTAAAGCCAACCTCCCCAGCTTTCAGTCCCGAGAACGGTGCCCTCTACCTGAAGCTCGTGTAGCCGTGACAGTCCCCCCTTGCAGAAAAGTTCAGCAAGGAAGCCCGGCGTGGAGGGGCCTGGGATGTCCGCCAAGCCCCGGGGCGCTGAGTCCGAGCCTCTGGAGCCCAGTGAGGCGCCCAGCTCAGGAGGGCAGCGGACGCGATGGAACACTCTGGAAGCGAGCTTGAGGGTCTGGGTCATGGTCTGGCTGGGGAACCCGGGAAAGAGTGCTTCTCCGGAGCGTCTTGCCCCAGCCCCTATTTAACTCTTGGGCGCGATAGTGGCGACGCCCCCTCTTCAAGCTCCTCAGCCAATCCCCTCTCCTGAGTGGCCTGTGCTGGGGATTAGCACCCAGGAACAGTAGGCGGGGCCGGAGCTGCCACAGAGGCTCCCGTGGACCTCATGTTGCAATGACCATCTTGGGAGGGGAGGCTTCTCCTCCTGGGCTGGTGCCCTAGTCCTGCAGCCTAAAGATCTCTTCCTCGGAAAGGCTATTTGGTGAGGCTTAGGTGACCAAGATACAGGCTGGGTCCCTGGTATTCCCATCACTTCCTCAGGCCCACTGGGGCCCATCCTCAGGAATTCCCCATCCTCCAGCTCCTCCGGGAAGGGAAGCAGGGAAGAGGCACAGCTGTAGCTGTCCTCAGATTCCAGGCTCATCGGGATGCACCTTTTTGGTATGTGAGCACAATTTTCCTGCATTACTACATCTCCCCCTCCCCCTGTTCCTGACACTGGGCAGATAGCAGGTGGGTTAATGGGTTAAGATGGTTCCAGGAGCCTTCATCTTTATTCCTTGGGAAGGGGGCTTGGTCTCTTCCGTCAACAAGCCCTGTCCTTCCAGCCATGGTAATTTGGTGCTTGAGGAGCACAAATGAAGGAACTTTTTGCAAATTAGAAAAGTTGAGAGATTTATCTGGGCTCCTGGACAGAGCAAGGGCTAAGCGAGTGCTCTGAATCTCCAGCTGACTCAGTCCCCTTTGTGGGGCTTTCTAGTCAGCAGCCCCTTTCCACTTTTAGCCTCAGAATCCTCCCCAGTTCACCTCTGCTCCTCACTCCCGCGCCCCCGGCCCTGGCAGGCTCTGTGTCAGCAAGTCAGCTCTGAAGTTCTGGGATCAAAGCAAAGGTCAACATGAAGAAGGAGAGGGTCTCCACCACCACACCCTCCCAGAATCTCCAGAGACAGCAACAATAAACGGAACACAGATTCCCCAGGTCAAGTCTTAGGCAGGGAGAGGACAGGAGTGATACACACTCTAGCCTTTCCTGAGACACAGCAGCATGGGATGTGCACACATACACGTTACCCCCTGAACTGCAAAATAAACACGAGTGGGCAGGTGATTTGAGCTTAGAAGGCAGTTTAGATGGACAGTGGAGAACTGCGTTCTTCACTCCAGCTGAGAAGGAGAAATCCCAGGAGAAGGGACTGCTAAGGGAGAGCAAGATTCCACTCCCTTCCAAAGATCCCTTCTGGTCCAAGGTCTTTTGACCTTCCCAGTCAGCTGCTTTTGCTTTCTGCTGCCACTGGAAGGGTAAGAAGGTGAGAGGAGTCAGGGGTGGTCATGAACTCCAGGGTTCTGCCCTGGGCAGCTCCTCAACTTCTTTGAGAGACTGTTGCCGCTCAGCCCTAGCAGGCTCAGCTCGGAAGGTCCAAGGGCCCAGTCTTCTTTCCAGTCCCTGGAAGATGGGGTCCAACTAAGGCAAAGTCAGCAAAGGCAAAGTCAGTGATCAGGAAGGGTAGGATTGGGGGTCACTGCCTAGAGGGTGGGATCCTGTATTCTTCGGAAGATAGCTGGGAAATTCTTTCCTCCATTGCGTAGAACTTTCTTTCCCTCCTCGGTCGAGGTGCCCAGATGTCCCACAATGGGATCTTCACTCTGGGAGAAGGAAGGGTTCAATAAGTCCTTGCCCTGGTCCCCAGACACCCATCCCATCCTCCTGGCATTAAGCTAGGTTCAAAGCATACAGAACCACTCTGGAAAGGACCTTTCCAGAAATCTTTGCAATTTCCCTTAGGCCCCCTACTTACCAGCTCCTCCAGAGGCACGCGCTCAAACAGGGGGTGCCCTTCAAAATGGGTGCACATCCAGTCATGTAGCTCCAGCACATCAGTTATGGTATATACCAGCCCCTGCACAGGCAAAGTCACCCTAGATGGGGGGCTGCAGGCAACTGAGCAGCAGGATCACGGGGGTGGTGGTGAGTCCTAAATGCACCCCCACTGAATTCTTAGTGGAAGGTCCCTTATTAGGTCCCTGACCCCATCCTCCCTCCCACTCTCGACTCACCCCGACCCTCAGCACGTAGGCATATTCTGCCAGCAGCGTGGGACTGATGATTCGCCACTTGTGCTTTGTCCGCTTGAAATGTGGGTCAGGGAAGAGGAAGAACATCTTTGTCAGCTGTGAGACAGACGTGCACCAACAGGATTGTGAGAGCCTGGCCTCCATGCCCCACCTGCTTACCAGCCTAACCCATGGGTGCCCCTCCCCACCTGGCCCTTGCGGAAGAAGTTAGGAAGGTGTTTCATGGCATTGCTACGGAGACAGGCGATGTTCTGGAAACCACCTCCAGGAGCCGCTCGTAGGGCCCGAATCCGGTCTTGCACATAATCTGAGACTTTCACCCGGATCTCCAGACCCAGAATCAGCGTGTCTGGGAACAGCGGTGACAGTTCCACTGGTCACAGAAATAGGAATGGAATCATCAACCTCATACTTGCAGGATATTCAAAGGAGTCAACACAGGAAAGGAAGCCTCAATCTGCAATTACCAAAATCAATAATGACAAGAGAGCTACCTGTATGGATGGCTCTGTGCTGGAGGAGTGGGCTGGGGGAGACCCAAAAAAAGTCACCAGGACTGGAAGTGGGAGGGCCTGGGAATACATGTATCTTTGCATGTGCTTTAAAGTCTTCACAGTGTTTTCACACATGTCTCATTTAATCCTCATTACATTCTGTGGTAAATTGCAAAGATGAGAAAACTGAGGGTCAGAAACGCCCAAAGTCACAGAGCTAAGAAGAGGTAGAATCAGAACTTGAACCATGGTTTTCTGCCACCAAGTACCATGAGCTTCCTCTCTGTCATGCTGTTATTTCTATGGAAGATCTAAAAACAGAGAAGTCGGTCCAGCATGTATGGCTGGGACAATACAGACAACACAAGAGAAATTAGAAAATATGAGCATGGAGAAGGAATGAGTTCTGGTGAGGAAGGGGGGAGGGGGAGGGGTGGTGGTGGAATCCCTAAGAAAGACAGTTCAGGATCACTGGCCACAGCGACTAATCTCTGACGCTTGTGCTGACCAGCTCACTGACCCGGCACCTGGCAGGTGAAATGGCTCACGTAGGGACTGGGGCCAGGGGCAGGGCCAGACAAGACAACCCAATTTCTAAGAGGCTTTGAGGCAGCCCCCTCCCTTCTCCAGGGCAAAGGCCACAGACCCAGAGTGGAGGGAAAGTGGAGGTTCTCCACACTGATGTCACAGCACCAATGTCTGGTCCGAAGGGGAAAGGCCAACTATGCCCCCGCCCCAAACCTGCTGAGTTGGCAGAACCTAGGCGTTGCCTCTCCTTGCTCCAGAGAAAGGGCCAGAGTGTTACCTAACAGGCCGCCATAGCCACAGCCTATGTCTGCAAACTCCACTTGGGCTTCAGCTCTCTTTTCTTTCTTATCTTTTGGGTCATCGTGGCTCTGATTTTGAGTCAGTGGAGCAAAGAACTCTGGGTATAGCTCAGACCAATCCATGTCCTCTGGCTTCACAGGGCTATTGGAGAGAAGACGTGAGAAACATGAGAAGGTTGGTCATACCATTGCAGAAGCAGTACTGTGTGTGTGGGTGGATGGGTGAGGGTGGGAGATGGATGAGAGGAGGGTTTCTCAAAAATTCTGTCAGAGCAGGCCCTTTGGCCTCTAGGAAGCACAATGGAAACCACCCTTAACCTCCCAGTGTGAATCATAGGCCTATCAAGTGGCCCATTATTGCTGATCTGCCTGTCTCCATTTCCAGGGTTGATGTGACTCTGGCTGGGCGGCTCTCCTTTCTGAGGCTCAAGTTCCCCTTGTCCCAGAGACTGGCTTCCTAAGGCATAGGGACTTTGCTTTGTTGAAGTTCTCTGCGGGAAGAGGATGGAGTAAGGTGTGGGCAGAATTGTGTATAAGTTTGTCTACTTTTAAAATTAATTTTTATTGAAGTATAGTTGATTTACAATGTTGTGTAAGCTTCTGCTGTACAGCAAAGTGAATCAGTTATACATATACATATATCCACTCTTTTTTAGATTCTTTCCCCATATAGGTCATTACGGAGTATTGAGTAGAGTTCCCTGTGCTATACAGTAGGTTCTTATTAGTTACCTACTTTATATATATAGTAGTGCATATGTCAATCCTAATCTCCCAATTAATCCCTCCCCCCAAGTTTGTCTTTTTTTAAATCCCACAGATGAAACTGAAAGATGGAAACGACATTCGGCCTCCATTACTCTAGTCTCGGTAACAATTTCTTTCTCTTCCCAGACTTGCAACCCTACCCAGCCTTCGGCCAGAACGCCACGCCCCCTCCCAACCCGCCAACTCCGCCCTCTGCCCAATCTCCCAGACCCACCCTCCGCAAACTGACGTCACCCAGCTGATCCTCCCGAGCCTACCCTAAACCCTCCAACCGTCGCAGCACAATCGCTTTTCCCGGCTACTCTGAGAATTCTGCCCTACTCTCCCTCCCCCGCTCGCCCCTGCCCTGCTCACTCACTAGCGCAGCGTATGGTCCGCCATGGGGTTGGAGTGAGCCCGCTGCCGATAGTAGCGCTTCTGAGGCTGAGGGGCCTCGGCTCCTGCTGCAGCGTCCCCAGTCTCGGTTCCCGCCATGATCCCCAGCCCGGGTTTATCCACCGAACCCACGTGGACCACGACCGAGGCTCAGGGCGCACGAGAATGACGCACGAAGGCACGTAGTGAGCAGAGCCCACCCCTTAAAGCTCCAGGAGTGAATTCTAATGGGCTGGGCAGGGAGGAACGCAGAGGGGCCGCGCGGGAGGGCGCCTCCGGGCCGCTGGTCTTTAACTGGGCTGGCAAGGCCAGACCCGCACCCAGCCTCTTTCCTTAGCCTGCTTCTGTTTGGTCTGGGTTACCACCCCGGTTGCAGGCCCCGTGCACCCCGCAGGTGAGAGGGGTCCAGGGACCCCGCTTCCTACGGTGAGTTAATCCTCCCTCCTCTCCCCTTCTCCCGCTCTCCGAGCAGTCGACCGGGTCTGACCCCCGTGGTCCGGCGTGAGTCCCATCGTGTGTGCGCTGGGGACCGGAGCTAGGGAAGCAGCTCCTCATTCCATCTCCAGGAAGTCAAACTGGAGGAAGGAGGGCAAACTCGGGGAGGCGGGGCTCGGTGCCACTGGGCAGCCGAGACGGCCCGCGGTCCTCAACCCCCACGCCGCTTCAGATCCGGGATCCGAGCGCTGGCCGGCGACCCGGCACTCTCGCGGCCAGATGGCGGATCCCCGCCCAGATCCTGAATCAGAGCCCGAATCCGTGTTCCCACGGGAGGTCAGACTCTTCGCTGACTCCTACTCGGAGAAAAGCCGGTTCTACTTCTGTGGTCACGTGCTGAGCATCACGGAGAACTTCGGGTCCCGCCTCGGGGTGGCAGCGCACGTGTGGGACGCGGTGAGGAGTGAGCGGCCCTGGGCTAGGGTCCGCGGAAGGTCAGACCCCGGACTCTCGCTTTCCCATATGGAGCCAATCCCCGCTGCAGTCTTATCTTTTCTCTCTTTTCTCCCATAGGCTCTAAGCCTGTGCAACTATTTCGAGAGTCAGAATGTGGATTTCCGAGGCAAGAAAGTGATCGAACTGGGCGCTGGGACGGGCATCGTGGGTATCTTGGCAGCGCTGCAGGGTGCGTGAGCTTTGCGGTGGGAGGGGGTGGGGGGGGAGGACGAGGATGTGGAGAAGTTGTCACTTCCTGTATTCTTGGGAGAGGGGAATGGTTTGGAACCAGCCTAGTCCCTTCTTTCTAACTTTTTTCGTGTGTGTGCCCCTACTTGCTCCTGTGTGCCAGACAGCGCTGATTGGCTGTCAGAGCACCCAAGGTGGTTAATTTGGGGGCAAGGAATAAAAATCGGGCAGGCCTTAGTAGAAGGAGTTTTTCCTACCTTTTTGCTCTTTGTGATTTCATGGATATTTACAAGGAAAAATCTCCTTTGCTTTATATATGGTCTTCTGTCAAAATGCATATATGGGTGTATCCTGTAGGGGGAGCAATTTGCAGGTATTAAACCTCAGGAGTACTTTATGACTTCATTGTGAATATATTTTTGATTCTTTAGGATTTCATTGCTTGGGAGGAACAAGCTTATGAGTTTCTGAGGGTTAGGGTGTGTTTTGTGGGAAGTGGGGTAGGAATTAGGCACTGCAGACTTGGGAAAGGAAAAGGTAAGGAAAATTTTGCTCCATTTTTGTCAAGAAGCAAAAACTACAAAGGAAACGGTTCCTTAGTTTATAATCTGATGGGCAGGCAAAACTTCACACCGAAAACGTTCCTTTAAAAACACTTATGATGTCATCTCCCTAGGAATGCAAATGAACATGTCCTTGTTCATAGGGACATAACACGAAACACATTCAGGGAAGTCTTCCCAGAGGCAGGCATTCTTTCTTCTATTCATCCAGCCAACATGTATTTGGAGTCCCCTATGTGCCAAGAATCATGCTAGGTATTGGGATACAACAATGAGTAAGATAGATTTCCTCTCCCCAAGGAGTTTATGGTCTAGTGGTGAAGATGGGGGAAGATGTTACTGGATGAGAACTATGGCAAGGTATGTGCAGAGCCAGTGGACATGCTCTGGCCGTGTCTCCCTTGACTCTCTGGGAGCCCATCAGGGAGAAGCTCTGTCAGATGAGGAATATGAACATAGCAGGCTCAGAAAGAACCGAGGGAGTGTCAACAGCAGCTTTCCATGAAGGAATGGGTGGATGAGAAGTGGGCAGATATGCTAAAATGGGAGAAAAATGGGTGTAATATGGATGGAAACATCTTTCACTTGCTCCCAGACTGGCTTCTCCTTCTTTTGCTCCCTATTCTGCTGCCAAGTCGGAAATCTGGGTGTCATTCTCACCTGTTGCCCTCTCCCCTCTCATCCTGGCAATCAGTGAGTCCTTTGGGTCATATGAACTTAATACTTCCCGAGTTCTCTATTCCTCTTCCCTTCATCTCTAGCTCAGGCCACTGCCATCTTTTCCCTGGATTTTCACAAGTGTCTTCGAGCTTCCCTATGGGGAAGTTTGGCTTGCCCAAACTAGATCTTGTGCTCTTCCGCCACCAAACCTGTTTCTCCCTCAGCCTTCCCCATCTCAGTGAATCAAATTACCATCCACCCAGTGGGACATCTAGACCCACAATTGACACGTCCCTTTTTCTCGCCCCCAACTCCATTATCCAAGTCCGATGGATTTATCTCCTAAAAATCTCTTGAATCTCCTGTTTTTCCATCCACACTGATGACTCCCCAGTCCTTGTCACCATCACTTGCCTAGAAGGCTACAATTAGTCAAAATGGTCTTCCTGCTTCTACCCCTTGCCCACACCTAGACCTCTGCCCATTCCACCCGACTGGCAGAGTGATCTTTCGGCATCTCTTCCCCATCTTTCAATGGCTTCTTGCTGCTTTCAGGATAGAACTAACCCCTTTGGCATGGCCTCCAAGGCCCTGCGTCTCCCTCTAGCCTCTTTCTCTGCCTCTCCCTCTCCCTCTTGTACTCCTTGTGCTACCTAGTGCCCTCCTATCAGTTCCTCAAGCCTATCTCGATGTCCCCTTCCTTGGAGCCTTCACACTGGGTGCACTCTATGTCTGGAACCCTTGTACCACCTGGTTAATGCATATGCCTTCTTCAGCGCTCAGCTCAAACATCACTACCAAGGGAAAGCCTCCTGGACGCTCCCACCCCCAGGCCCTCCTAGTATAATATACAACTGTGTTGACTGGTTTTATTTTATTTATTTATTTTGGCTGCTCCTCGCAGCATGGAAGATCTTAGTTCCCCCACCCGTGACCCCTGCAGTGGAAGCACAGAGTCCTAACCACTGGACCGCCAGGGAGGTCCCTGGTTTCATTTTAAATTTGTTGTCACTAGCCTCAGGTGCGTCCTTAAGCGCTGCCCAGCTAGCCTCTTAGCCGCCCTCACCCACTGACTCTTCTGCTCTCCTAAACATCTTGTTTCTTATCTTTTTGCCCTTCAAACTTCCAAATGTCTCCTCAGCTGATGGCTTTGTTTCCTAGCTCTTCTGATCGCTTCTGTTTTCTCATAGCAGATATCCACCATGTTCTTATCACAGCATCTCTTCCCCAGCTGTGTCTGCACTGCCTTCTCTCCTGTTACCATGGCAGACGTGCTGTGCTCCTAGTTAAGGTCAAGTGTGTGTCACGAGACCCCAAACCTTCTCATCTACCTAAAGACATTGTTCCTGCAAACACCCTGCTCCACCACCTCTCCTGCATTATCCGTTTTCCCTTCTCTCTGGATCATTCCATATGTGTGTTTGTGTGTATTATGCACATAAATAGGCTGTAATGTCTCCTATCAGAGAAAACTCTTGATCCTACACATCCCTCCAGTTCCCACTCCATTTCTCTGCTCTGCTTTATGACAAAACTCAAAAGAGTTAATGCTCATTGTCATTCCTCTCTTCCTATTGTTTCCTCAATTCCATTCTAGATTCTACCCCCCTCCCCAACCCAGCCTGCCCCCTCCACTCCAGTTGCTCCAGAAAGGCTGTGAGCTTCACTTCTGACTCCATGTTGTTAAGTACAAGAGTCAGTTATGAGCCCACCTTACTGGACTTGGCAGTGTTTGTCTCTCCCTCCTCCTTGGAAGACACTTCCTTTGGCTTCCAGGGCACCACACTTCTGGGTTCTACCCACCTCACTGGCATTTGTTCCATTCTCCTTTGTTGGTTCCTGTTCTTCTTCACAACTGAAAGTCTGAGCGCACCAGGGTTCAGGAGCCGTCCTCTGACCCCTCTCCTTTTCTGTCTACACTCACTTCCAAGCAGTTCCATCACGTCGTGGCTTTAAATGCCCTTTCCGGGCTTCCCTGGTGGCGCAGTGGTTGAGAATCTGCCTGCTAATGCGGGGACATGGGTTCGAGCCCTGGTCTGGGAGAATCCCACATGCTGTGGAGCAACTAAGCCCGTGCGCCACAACTACTGAGCCTGCGTGTCTGGAGCCTGTGCTCCGCAACAAGAGAGGCCCGCACACCGCGATGAAGAGTGGCCCGCACTCGCCACAACTAGGGAAAGCCCTCGCACAGAAACGAAGACCCAACACAGCAAAAATAAATCAAATAAATTAATTTAAAAAATAAAAATAAATGCCCTTTCCGGGCTGATGACTCTATGGCGCTCCCGCCTATATCTTCAGATTTGTTTGTATAATCAGCTACCTGCTCGGTATCTTCCTGTGGTTGTCGGATGCACATCTCAAGCCTAATGTGCCCAGAAGTGCATTCATGATTTTCCTGTCCATACCTGTTCCCCCTGCAGCCTTCCTCACCTAAATAAATGACAACCTAGTCTTCTAGTTGGTCAGGCCAAATATCTTGGAGCCATCCTCAACCTCCCGCTCCCAATGTTTCATATCGAATCTGTCAGCAAATCCTCTTGACTGTACCTTCAAAATATATTCAGGATCTGACCAATTTCCTAGACATTGCTGCCCTGCCTAGAATCTGGCCCTACTATTATTTCCCTCACTTACTCTGCTCCAGCTACTGGCCTTCCTGCTGGTCCTTAGACTTGCCAGGCACACTCCTGCCTCACGGTCTTTACACTTGCTAGTCCCTCATTTGGTACATCTTAACCTGAGAGACCCACAGAGTTTGCTCCGTCACTTCCTTCAGGTCTTTACTCAACCATAATCTGCTCCATGAGGCTTTCCCTAACTACCCAATTTAAAATGACATTCCTGCCCTGTCCCTCAAGCAGTTCTTATCCTCCTTCCCTGCTTAATGCTTCAGCATAGCATTTATTACCATCTGACTTACAGTGTGTTTTGTTTGTTTCATTTTGTTTGTTGTTGTAGGTCTCTTGCCACTAGACTGTAAGCCCCGGGAGCAGAGGGATTTTGTCTGATTGGTTCACTGCTGTATTCTCAGCACCTGGCATAGAGGCACATAATGAATATTAACGAATGAATTCTGAGTATTTTCTCTTTCTGTAATAATCACCATGATCGTGATTAAATAGTTTTGCATTACCTCATTTGTCTCTACCTCTATAACAGAGCTCAAGGAAGGCCAAGGTTTTGTTTTACTCATGCCTGTACCCCCAGAACTTAGTAGATGCTCAGTAAATATATTTACTGCATGAACGAAGCTTTCTGAAGTCCTAATCTAATCATGGTCACTCTCTGCTTCTGCCCTTAAAACCTATTGCTCTCAGGATCAAGGCTGAATCTCCTTAGCATGTCATAATCATTTTCCTCTGTACTCTCATGTTTTGACACTTTTCTCTTCCCTTCCACATCCTCTGAGATCCACCCTTCCTTGAATACAGTGTGCTCTCTCCCAACCAGGCCTTTGTACTCTCTGATCTCTGCTTGGGAAGCTCCACTTGACTAACTCCTCCTTGTCCTTTAAGGCTTGCTGAGGTCATGTCTTCTGGGAAGCTTTCCAGATCCATGAGGGCTGGTTTGTGTCAGTAAGGGGTGGGTGTGCAGCCCACCTCCAGCTTAGTCCTGCCCAGGCTTCTGCTGACATCTAATTGTCGTGTGTTGGGCAGAGAGGTTGAAGATTAGCTTAGAGAGAATGTTGATGTCGTAGAATGTAGAGTAATGAGATGGCTGTGGATGAGGTTGAGGTTAGGGCAACTCAAATTCAAAGTGTGGACTTTGGGCTGTCCAAACATTATCCTCTAAGCCCTGAGGTCCCTGCACCTTCTAAGCAGGAGCCGAAACCCCTTGGTTGGTCCCTCTGACTTGCATTTCTCCTCCTTCCTCTCTCTCAGGGGGGGATGTTACCATCACTGACCTGCCCCTGGTCCTAGAACAGATCCAGGGCAACGTCCAGGCCAATGTGCCGGCTGGAGGCCGGGCCCAGGTCCGCGCCTTGTCCTGGGGGATTGACCAGCATGTCTTCCCTGGAGACTATGACCTGGTGCTGGGGGCTGATATCGTGTATCTGGAGCCCACCTTCCCGCTGCTGCTGGGGACCCTCCAACACTTGTGCGGGCCCCATGGCACCATCTATCTGGCTTCCAAGATGAGAGACGAGCACGGGACAGAGAGCTTCTTTCAGCATCTCCTGCCCCAGCATTTCCAACTGGAGCTGGCCAAGCGGGATGAGAATGAGAATGTTAACATCTATAGGGCCAGGCACAGGGGACCAAGACCTGCTTGATGTCACCCTTCTGCTCCTCTGAACACCTTGTTCTAATGAAGGAACTGCCATATGTCCAGAGCCGTAAACATAAGGACCCAAAACGATGGATTTCCCTTGCCTCTGTCTTTCCTCCTTCCCTTTTTGTTTCCTGAGATACTCTTGGGCAGGTGCAGGGAGGTGCTATGTGCTAGGAATACTAGAGCCCTAGCTGTACTGGGCTAGAGTGCAAAGGAAATTCCCAGTTCCTGTTCTCAGCAGTGGAAGATGGGAGGGTATCCAGGATTTTATGGGAAGGGGAGGTAAGTGGGATGTGTGAACAGTGGCTGCAGAGAGACAGTCATGATCCCATCTAGTCCTGCTGTTGTCTTTTTATACAGAATGGATTTTTTTTTTTTCCAGATTCTACTGGAATTTTTTAAAAAGGAAAATAGGGCTTCCCTGGTGGCGCAATGGTTGAGAGTCCGCCTGCCGATGCAGGGGACGCGGGTTCGTGCCCCGGTCCGGGAAGGTCCCACATGCCACGGAGCGGCTGGGCTCGTGAGCCCTGGCCACTGGGCCTGCGCGTCCCGAGCCTGTGCTCCGCAGTGGGAGAGGCCACAGCAGTGAGAGGCCCGCGTACAGCAAAAAAATAAATAAATAAATAAATAAGCATTAAAGATCTCTTCTGCATCCAGAGAACTTGGGCTTTTACTGGGGGGCTGGGAAGCAAGAAAACTCCGACCACCCACTTCTTGCTTCTAGAGATAGTCTGGTGGAACCATGGCTCTAACTGGGTTAAGTCCTCCCAGCCCTGAAGTTGGGGATAGGCAGCAGAGCTGTCCTTTGGACCATAGCTCCTTCACTCTTTTTGGAGTTGGAGCCCTGATCACTAAGTACCAGGTTCTCTTTGATTTTTCTTTAGGTTTCCAGTCCCTATCAGTCCTTCCTTCCTAATGTGTTTTGCCTTCACCTCTTTTCTCCTCCCACTGTGGGGCCTCTCATGGGGGCTCTCCTGACTTACTCCTTGGGCCACACATCACCTCCTGGGGCCTCCTGGCCTCCATTCACTCCCCTTCAAACCATTTTGTAAACTCTGGTGATCTTCCAAAATCAGCTCTGATTAGCTTCTGCTGCTGCCCAACAGAAGCAAGAATAAGCTCTTCTGCTTGGTACTCAGTGTGTCCCGTGTGATCCCAAATTATCCTGCTCCTTCATTTCCTACTGGTCTCCGACATGTATGGCAACCTCTGGCCAAATTACAAAAGGTCTACTCTTTGTTCCCTAAATCCACACCAAGATTCCCTGGCTTCTTCCTTTATTCTTTTTGATGATTCCCTGCCTGGAAGGGCTATTTCTACCTCTGAAACTCTTCATTATTCTTAGCTTCTCTCCTGAAAAAAGCTTTTCCTGAGCCTCCTGTTTGAATGTGATTTCTTTCTCCCTTGAGACGCTTTAACTAACTGTTCGTCTTGTAAGGCTTACCTTGTCTCGTGTGATCATTTGTCTGCTCCCTATTTTCTCACCATTAGATTACCTTGGAGGGCAGGGCTATGGTTCCTGGCACACAGTTGGTGTTCATCAAATATTTTTGTTCGTTCAACAAATATTTACTCCTCCTCCCTGTGTGACCTTGGCCAAACTTCTGAACCCACCCAACTACCTCACAAGTTTGTCATGAGTCATAAATGGATAATGAATATGAAGTACATTGGAAATAAACATGAAGTGTTACCACGTGTCTTGTATTGTTATTTTGTGATACTTCTGTCTCATGCTTTCTGTTATTTTACCTGCGGGGGGGTAATTCCCTTGTGAAATGTAGTCTCAATACGCCAAGTAGGGGAGGCGAATGTGCCCCCCGGACAGCAGGTGGCGCCATCTCCGCTTGGCGCGTTCCGGTGGAGAGTTTTGGCCCCGCCGCTACGCCGTAGGTCCGTGGCCTCAAGGGTGCGGCAACAGTGTACGGCCCCCGGAAAGATGTCGCTGCTGCGCTCACTGCGCTTCTGTTTGGTCCCGCGGCCCGGGAGCTGCCAAGTGAGTGCTCTTGGCCCTGGCCCCGTTCTGCCTTCCTTGCAGGTCTCCCGTGCTCCGGGCACGCTCCCTCCCCTTCCCCTGGCTGCGTTCGGCTCCATCTCCCCCTTCCCCGCACCTCGGTCCCTCTTCATGGTGGAGCGTCTGGGCGCTGCCTTTCCCCACCCCCTGGGTCTGTCTCTACTAAGGTCGCCTCCCGGCCGACGTGCTCCCACCCCACGAGCTCCTTGCTGCTTCCTGCTTCTCATGCTTTCTTACTCCCTCCAGGTGGGGCCCCTTCTGCTTCAGTCGCCCCAGCCGTGGCATACATTTCACGCTGGGCCCTGGCTGTCCTCCTCGGCTTCCAGCAAGGAGCTCCTCATGAAGCTGCGGCGGAGAACGGGCTACTCCTTTGTAAACTGCAAGAAGGCTCTGGAGACTTGTGGCGGGGATCTCAAACAGGTGTGGGAGAGGAAGTAGAGGGGAGCAGGGGTGGGAGTGGGGTACTGGGGCCCGACCCCAGTGCATTTGGGAGGTCGCGTAGAAGTCAGATTTGCTGCCCAGGTGACCCATAACGACAGAGTCCTAGATAGAATTCTGACTTCAATGACAGTTTCACCCATTGACTCTTACCTATTTCGAAGCAATTGACTCAGGGTCGCAGGGCTAAGAAACTATTCCACGCAAGGCTGCTATGAGGTTTCCTGCTGCTTGGGGCTGAAAGGGCTCGTGGGAGCTTTGGAGTCAGACCGACGACTAAGACCGTGGTCTTATAAGATCTTATAAGGTCTTGTAAGATCGTGGTATCCTCACACTAATCCTGTGACCTTGGACACCTTGCTTAATATTTCAGAGTTGCATTGTTTTTTTTTTATATAAAGAAAATAGTACTATCTTCCCCATAGAGTTGTTGTGAAGATTAAACTTACTCAAAACACCAGGCACAATGCCCACTGTTTGTCATTTAGTGGTAGGCTGCCAATAAATGATAGATTAGTTTCTCTTGTAGGGCTGAGGGGAAGGAGAAAGAACTGGGGAACCTGAGGTATTTTAGAGCCCCATTCTGTTCTAAATTCTGTGCCTTTGTCATCTGCTTTTTATCTTTTTTATTTATAGGCAGAGAGCTGGCTCCACAAACAGGCCCAGAAGGAGGGCTGGAGTAAAGCTGCCAGGCTCCATGGCAGGAAGACCAAAGAAGGTCTGATTGGGCTGCTACAGGAAGGAAACACGACTGTGTTAGTAGAGGTGAGTTGTCAGAGTTCCAGATGCCAGGAACAGCTGTCCCTTGGGTGTAGGCTTTGTGGTAGACCCTTTGCATTCTTAAAGAAGAGGTGTTTGAGAACCATAAAAGCTAGTTAGAATTAAGCCCGTGAGACCGCAGTTACTAGCTATGGATTCATTTAAGTATAGAAATGCACAGGTTGTGGGTGAGAAAAGGCCTAGTAGTGCAGACTGTTATTCCTAAATGTGAGTCCATTGTGGCCTTACACCTCGTCACTGATTGTTTCCTGGAATAGTTAGATTTTAAAGCTAGGAATTAGACTAATTAGATGATGGACAGCAAGCAGCTGTTTTAGAGGAGGTTTAGGGGCCCAGCTGGTGAAGAATCAGGTGTGGATTAGTCTAGAGCGAGAGAAGAGATAAACAAGCTGATAAAAGTGGTTTGGCATTGGAGGAGCCTAGGGAATTAGGTGATTATGGCATGTGCCACAGGCAGGTGGTGAACTTGTAGTGAATCCTTTGGGGGACGTTATGGAACCGTCCTGTGAATGCGCAGGTTATTGCTAACTCATTGGCACAGCAGGAATCCCTTCATTCAGTTTCTGGCCTCAAGCTAGTAGAGGAACTGTGGATTTAACCCTAGAGACATTTATTTCTGTTTTGTTGCGTCTGCTGCCTGTATTACCAATACCTTGCTTTAAGGCATTTTTGGAGACTGTTAGTAAACAGCTTATACAGCAACATCAATTTCTTCCCACAGGTGAACTGTGAGACAGATTTTGTTTCCAGAAATTTAAAATTTCAACAGTTGGTCCAGCAAGTAGCCCTGGGAACCCTGTTGCATTGTCAGAGCCTAAAGGATCAACTGTCTACATATAGTAAAGTGAGTTTGGGGGTTGTCTCCAACATGCTGGATTTGTTCCTCCCCTCTTAGGGTCTTTGCTATTCCATTTTTTCAGACATTCTCATGTTTCACTTCCTTATTTTATGTTTCTGCTTAAATGTTATCTCTCTGGAGAAGAGTACCTTCCTCCTATTGCTCTATCCCCTTATTTTGCTTCATTTAAAATTTGTTGTTATAGTTCTTATATATTACATTTTAATTTATTTATTTCTCGTTTGCCTTCCCCAATAGAATGTAAGCTTCATAAGGCAGGAGATTTGTCTTTTCACTAGTGTGTCTCTGGTGCATGAGGAGTGGGCCCAGCACTTGCTAGGGGCTCTGTTGAATGAATGAATGAATGCCAGTGGAATACAGTCCATAAATCAGGTGAAGCTTTGTGTTCAGAAATCTAGAATGGCCTGAGGAAAGGATTTCTAAATATAGATGCTGGAGAAGGCACAATTTAGGAGACTAAGCATATTCTTATCTATAGAAGGATCAAGGAAGGAATTGTATCAGTATGCCTTTGATCCATCCTTATTGCCAAGGCAAAAATGAACCAACTACTCACAATTTTTTTGTTTAGTACCACCTTTTTCCTTCTGTTTATCTTTCTTTTGAGATCTTGTGGTAAATGTTAATTATTACTGGCATTAAATAGTCATATTACATGGAAAACTATGTTGAGATTATTTTTTAGAATTGTACTGAATAGATGAGTCACTTGAAGTAGAAATTCTAATCTTGACTTCGCCAGTAGCTGTTTGTAACCCTGAGCTACTCACTTACTTTACTGTGCCTCTGTTTCATTATCTGTAACAAGGGGCTTTGGTCCCTTTTAGCTTTATTAATTTTTTCCTTTCGGGCTTTATCTTTTTAAAACTTTTATTTTGAAGAAAATTCAAATTTGCAGAAAAGTTGCCAGTATTCTACAGTAAACTAGAGAGTAAATTTATCTAGATTCACCATTTGTTAACATTTTGCCTTATTTACTTTATCACTTTTTATATTCATATTATCGTCATCCCTATTGTTTTTTTATCCTTTTGGGAGTATGTTGTGGACATTAGAACCCTTTATCCCTTCAGCATGTATCTCCTAAAAACAAGGACATTTTCCTATATAACCACAGTACAGTGATCACATTCAGGAATTTTAACATTGATACAATATTTTTATTTAGATAATATACAATATACATTCCGTTTTTGGCAACTAGCAGTTTTTCTTGTGATCCAGGATCCAGTCCAGTAGCATGTGTTGCAATTAGTTGCCATGTCTGTTTGGTTTCCTTCTTTGTTCCTCAGCCTTTCTTTGTCTTTCATTACATTGACATTTTTGAAGGGTACAGGACAGCTGTGTAGAACGTCCTTCAATTTGGGTTCAACTGATGTTTCTTCATACTTAGAATATGGATTTTTGTAAGAATCTTAAATAAATTACCCTCTGTTTTTCTCAGAACATCACATCAGGAGGCACAGGGGGTTGGGACTGTTGTCTTGTTATTGATGGTGCTAATTTTGATCTCTTGGTTAAGGTAGTATCTGCCAGGTTTCTCCACTCTAAACTTACCATGTTCCTTTTTTGTAACTAGTAAGAAATCTGTATGGGAGATTTTTTTGAGACTGTGTAGACATCCAGTTCCTCAAAAAACTTGTGCCTAAAAGTTTTAGCATTCCTTGATGATTCTTGTCAGGACCAGTTGTTACTGTGATAGTTGCATAGTGGTTATTTTTCTAACCCTTATAGTTTCTTTCACATGGGTTAGTTTTATTGGGTGGCATTCTATTGTAATAAGGAGATTTCTCCTTCTCCCTTTATTTAGGGATTTACTTAGTAGCAACATTGACTCATAGATTCTTCTTTTATACAATTCATTATACAATCCATTAGTCTTTTTCTTTTTTTAAAAAAAAAAAATTTATTTATTTATTTTCGGCTGCGTTGGGTCTTTGTTGCTGCACGCGGGTCCATTAGTCATTTTAATGCTCAAATTATCCCCGGATTTGGCAAGTTTAAGCCAAGCCTATGCAAACTGGCTCCATTGTCTTTTTGGTATGGCCTTATTATTTTCTGACTACTTCCGTACTTTTTGGCATAACAGAGTATTCTGGGTTTATGTCATACTTTCCTTGCCCCAGCCATGGGATTGGCAACTTCTCCAAGGGGTCCTGATCCTTTCTGGTGGGGGAATGGTTTTTAGAAACCAAGATCTGGGCAGCATTAGGTATGCTTAATTCTACTGAGATGTCATTGCTGCTCTGCTCTTTCAGCAGAGCTAGGAAATGTGTGTGTGTGTTTCAGTTCTAATCTTGCACCACAGCTTCTTTCTTTTCTTCCCCCTTTCTATATTTGTACCTTCCTTCTCTCATAGTGAATACACTGGCTTCTAGCAATTTCAGTATGTTTGCTTATTTACTCTCTGTAGGGTACACACTTTGTTTCAGAGTTACTATCCCTGACCACTGCAAATAACAAACGTTACTAAGGAGTTCAAGATTTCTTTGATGTTCTTTTTGTCCTTACTTTGAAGTTATGTGGCCAAAGGACTGTATCGAAAGTAACTTGGATTAGTTTTTTTCCCCCTTTTGAGATTGTGTTATTCCTTTGAAATACAGTTAGAATCTGTTTCTGTTTAGTCAGTGTTTGTTTTCACCCCCAATCCTTGTTAATTTAATTTTATTTTTGTGGGTTGTTTTGTTTTGTTTTGTTGCGGTATGTGGGCCTCTCACTGTTGTGGCCTCTCCCGTTGCGGAGCACAGGCTCCGGACATGCAGGCCCAGCGGCCATGGCTCACGGGCCCAGCCGCTCTGCAGCATGTGGGATCTTCCCGGACTGGGGCACGAACCCATGTACCCTGCATTGGCAGGCAGATTCTCAACCACTGCGCCACCAGGGAAGCCCCTAATTTTATTTTTGAATATGTAAAACATTAACAAGGTTCTGGAAGTTAAAACTCTCCTCCCCCCTCCCCCAACCACATACACAAGTCTTACTTCCCTCCTCTCCCTTCCACCCCATTCCTGTCCACTCCTGTGGATAACCATCTCCACTAATTTCTGGTTATCCTTTTTGCAAAAATAAGCATATTTACACAAATATTTATTACACAAGTGTTGGTATAATAGGTATGTATTCTTTTAATTTGTTTTTTTCACTTAATATATCCTGGAAATACTCCATAGCAGCTCATGGAGACCATCTTTTTTTCTCTGTCTTTTTCCAGCTGCATAGTATTCCATTTTGTGACTGTACTGTGGTTTATTCAGCCAGACTCTGCCTGTTTGGACATTTAGACTTCCCAGTATTTTACGATTAGAAATAATTGCTCAATGAATAACTTTGTGCCTATGTACTTTTGTATTGTTGGAAGTGTATTAGAGTAAATTTCTAGAAATAGGCTTGCAGGGTCAAAGGATAAAAGTGTATGTAGTTTTTTTTTTGTTTTTTGTTTTGTTTTTTATTTTATTTATTTTTTTAAAAGTGTATGTAGTTTTGTTAGCTGTTGTCCAATTCCCTGCCATTGGATTTGCACCATTTTTCATTCCTACCAACAATCTACAAACCTTTTAGTTTCAACATTTTATGATTGTATGAAAATATTGTTTCTGATTTCTAGGAAACTACATTCTAAGAAGTTAGGCCAGAGATTGGGATGGGATTGGGGGTGGAGTGCTTAGCAATTTTTAACATTCTTGGCTTAATGAAAACATTATCTATTTATACTTAGTTGTCTTAAATCATTTTCTGAGAAATAGACTATATTTTTGCTTAGTCTCTTGGTAATTTTAATTATACAGACTGACTCGTGTTCATTTTCTTTGTGCACTTAGGGCTTCTTGAATTCCTCTGAGCTCTCTGAACTTCCAGCTGGGCGTGAGAGAGAAGGCTGTCTCAAGGATCAGCTGGCCTTAGCAATTGGTGAGTATTTGTAAGGATCTGGAAACTGGAGATTAATAACTGGATCTCCTGGTATCTTTGGTATTCCTCCAAATCTAGATCAAGAATTACAAGGTCAAGTTCCTTCAAGGGTCTGATAATCTGATTGCGAGAGGTGGGTTGTGTGTTAGATATTAGTGAGCAGTGGACACCCTGAAAAGCTCACACTCTGCTGAAGAAAACCATTACCAAGCCACCTGTTATTACTTTGAGGGAAATGGGATCCCAGTGTCATCAGAATTTTTAAATTCCTTTAAAAGAATTTGGATTTGTATGAAAAAAAATTTAGTTTCTAGCTGTTTGCAACTAATTTAAATTAGTAGGCATCACTGTGCTGACCAAACAAAGCATGTCTTTAGGCAGAGATGGCCTTTTGACCTCTGGTTGACTACCTCTCTGTACACTATGAAGGAAATAGTCCGTCAGAGGTCATTTCATCTTCTTTATGAAGGGATCCAGGAGTATTTCAGGGCATCATGTTTAGGAATTTGTCCTCTCTTAAAAAAAAAATCTGATCCTGAATTTGTGAAGGTACATTCTTTCAGAACCACTGGCTATAGGAGCCGTATCTGGATCATTGGCAGTGGGAGTAGTAGGGATTTTGCCTTCTTCGTACGTGTCCTTGATGGAAGGAGGGAGGTACGGCTGGGGTTGGAGCTTGCTGGGAATTTACTGCTCATCTGATGTTTCCAGTCAGGACATCAATTCTGTTTTTATCAGGTCATCTTGAAGTATGTATGATGTTTCAGTGAGTCATGGTTGAAAAATTAGATAGACAGCTGTGTATGGAACTTATTAAGAAATTCTGGAAGAATTGGGTGTTTCAGCCTTGCCAGTTTCTGGGAATTAACTATTGGGTAGATGCTTTGAGCTGTTTTAAGATTCCTTTTGGTTTCTGGATACTTCCCTTTTATGACTTTTAGTTACAACAATGGCTAATTCAGGGATATTTACCCAGACCCCTTTGTCTATTCTCCTACCCCTACCTACCTTTTGGCTTCTTTGGACTTGTGTTAGAGGGGATAGCATCCTAGAATCTGTTTTTGGTTCTTATAAATAACTCTGAAAATATTATCTTTTAATTTTTGTTGAGGGGAAGCTGAAACCACCATATGACATGGGGCTTTGGATTGTCTGGGGCTTTTAGTTTTGGGCTTTTTCCTGATACAATGGATGATCAGGAGTTGTCTGTGTCAGTTATAGTGGTTTTTGGGAGGGATGGTGATTTGGTGGGAAAAAACACAATTGGTTTGGAGTCAGATCTGAGGGGGTTATTTTTGTTTTTTTTAAGATTTTTTTTTGATGTGGATCATTTTTAAAGTCTTTATTGAATTTGTTACAGTATTGCTTCTGTTTGACTTTTTTTTGTTTGTTTTTGTTTTTTTTGCGGTACGCGGGCCTCTCACTGTCGTGGCCTCTCCTGTTGCGGAGCACAGGCTCCGGACGCGCAGGCTCAGCGGCCATGGCTCACGGGCCCAGCCGCTCTGCGGCATGTGGGATCTTCCCGGACCGGGGCACGAACCCGTGTCCCCTGCATCAGCAGGCGGACTCTCAACCACTGTGCCACCAGGGAAGCCCTGTTTGACGTTTTTGTTTTTTGGCTACGAGGCATGTGGGATCTTAGCTCCCCGACCAGGGATTGAACCTGCACCCCCTGCATTGGAAGGCGAAGTCTTAACCACTGGACCTCCAGGGAAGTCCCTAGATCTGAGTTTTAATTCCAGCTCTGCCATACATTAGCTCTGTAGCCTTAGGCAGCTTCCTTAAGCTCTCTAAGCCTGAGTTTAAGGTGGTGATGCTAGCCAGATTGGAGCACTCACTATGTGCAGGTACTGTAATAAGTCCCTTTACACATCTTATGTATTTCTCCCATAACCCTGTTTTCAGGTTATTTTAAGTGGCATCCTCTCCATTTTACAGAAGAGAAAATGAAGGCTTGATGAATTAGTAAATGGGGTTATATCATTAAGTTACTTGCCTAAGGTCGAAGCCAGTGAGAGGCAGAACTGAGACCCGCGCCCAGGATATGTGTGACACCAGAGCCTGTGTTTCTAAATACCAGCATGGCGCCTAGTTGGTGTTCACTCCATTTCTCCCACCCTCTCCCCCCACACCCCTTTTCCTGTTTACACTGAAAACGGTATCTCTCCCTCCGTGGCACATCCACGGTGTAAATGCGGAGGACTGTCTCCCAAACTTGGCTGCTTCTGTGCATATTTTGGTACTACCACGAGCATCATATTCTGGAAGTGTGTTTTTTGTTTTTGCTCTCTCACAGGGAAGCTGGGAGAAAACATGACTCTTAAACGAGCTGCATGGGTGAAGGTGCCAGCTGGGTTCTATGTTGGCTCTTATGTCCATGGGGCAATGCACAGTCCCTCGCTCCACAACCTGGTTCTGGGGAAATATGGGGCCCTGGTCATCTGCGAGACGTCTGAGCAGAAAGCAAACCTTGAAGACCTTGGCCGCCGCCTTGGGCAGCATGTGGTGGGCATGGCTCCTCTCTCTGTTGGCTCCCTGGACGATGAGCCTGGGGGAGAGGCAGAAACCAAGATGCTGTCCCAGCCGTACTTGCTGGATCCCTCCATCACGCTGGGACAGTACGTGCAGCCCCAAGGGGTGTCTGTAGTAGACTTCGTGCGGTTTGAATGTGGAGAAGGCAAAGAGGCAGCAGAGGCTGAATAGGTTCCAGAGACTTTTGGCCCAGGAGAAAATGTTTATTCTTAACTCTGGACATTATTACAAAGAGGAGTTATTTCCTAAGCCTCTTCAAACCCAGCATTTGTTTTTCATTTGAGTTTATAATGAAATTATATACTTCATGGGTTAAGCTATTAAATAAAATTGTTATATAATAAAGAGAGTAGAATCTTTTCTTTGTTTGTGTAATGCTGGGTCTAGCTTTTTTGTGCCTGACTTGTGACAGGTTTTAGAAAACAACAGGTGGGTCTCACTGAAGTGACTGACAGTGTCTGGGAGAACAGGCATCACCAACTGTGCTGCTGCCCCCTTCAATGCAGATTTATTATGGTGTCCCTAAAATGTCTACCTTGTTCCATCCTACTCCTGTGACATAGAACTCTTGTTCGGTTTTGCTTTGTGACGCTTTGGACTATGCTTCTATCCTGGAACTTCCCCAATTACATTACTTGTGCCACATGGATTCTTTGGAATTGTTGACTCAAACTTGGAGTTGTCTGGAAAATGTGGTTCATTTGTTGATGTCCATAGCGTGCTTTGAAGGCTCTCTGCAGTGGTATACACACTGATTCTGTCCTCATTACTGAAATTAATAACACATGGCCCTGTTTCTCCTCTGGATAGTGGGGTGGGGATGGGTGGGGACTGAGGTTTCCTGGACAGCTGTAAGGCAGATTTTGGCATTCTTAGGTCAACAGGGATTCCAGTTATCCAGAGAGCTCACTCAGCAGTGCCTCTTTACTTGCCCAGTACTGAGACATTTCTCCCAGTAGAACAAAATAGTTATCATAATGGGCAGACCCAAAATACTGAAAAAAACCTCCCTTTTGCTCTTACAGGTATCTTTACTTGAAAATTTAAAAATCTCTGGCACATACAGTTCTGAGCATTTAGATTTTGACCTCAGGGTGTATATGTGAATAACTTCAGTGATTTGTGGGTTAAATAGGAAATACCGATCTTAAGATTTAAAACAAACTCAGGCCCTTGCCCCAATATTAAACACTTTAAACTTAGTTTTTTTGTTCTCTTACTTTTGACTTCTCCAGATTCCTGCAGTTTTAGTGCTTTCTGCTGAGGCCAGAAAAATTAAAAAGTGGGTAGCTAACATTTTAGGTACATAACAACTAAGGAACGCAGGGATGAGAAAAATGGAGAGCATGCTGTGCTTTGCAGAGCCTCCTGTGTCACCGTTAAGTAGCTGGACGTTAGGCAGAAGTTAGTAGAGAAATTCTTTCCTGGTACTGGCACTCTGCTTTCTCCTGGCGTCTCGCAGTAGGCAGATGCCTTCTTCCCTCAGAAAAGCCCCTTTTCTTTCTTCATCTGGAGCTGTTTCCAGCCAGGCAGAGCAGCAAATTGCCCTCTTGTGATGCCAAACACAGAAACAAAGTCCTGTTCAGAGAGGTAATTCTAAGAGAGAAGACAAAGCTTCTAGTTAGAAGGAAGACCTAGCACCTGTCAGTGCTAACGGGGTCGGGGAAATGGGGCCAAGAGAGAGTCCCAGGTAGTTCCCTGAAAGGGGAAGTAGAATGATTTCTTCAGAAAGTTTTTAATAGACTTAAATTATTCATCGGAGAGTTCTTTGGCTTGTGGAGTCCCACCTTGGCCTCTGAAAGCCCTGGCTGGATTTGCGCACAGTCCCACCTGGCACCAGTGTCTTGCCAGAAGGACAAGAAATGGGTTATATATTATGTACAAGTTCTGAACATTAGGCTTTGGCTGAATGGAGAACTAAATTGATGGTTTTCCTTGCTTTCTGCCCTTATCTGCCATTTTTTATCCGGACATTTTCAAATGCAAGATCAGGTGGACCTTAATGAGAGCATAAAATTCTCCTAACATTTATTTATTAATGATTAATGAATATTTACTGTGCAAGTAAAATTATTAAGATATGGTCTCTGTTTTCAAGAAAGTTGCAGCCCAGATACTTAAGAGTTGGTTAGATAAGACACTGTGGAAAATCCAGAGGCCCTTCCCCTTCAAGGGGGAAATAAATTAGTTCATTCAACATGACTGTTAATTCAATCAGCTGAAACTTAAGGTGTGCCTGTGATCTGCTGGGCACCATTCTAGATGCTGAAAAGCTGAGAACGTGGGCGTGAACAAAACAGACAAGGTCCTTGCTCTTGAGGGTATCACTGGAGCGGGGCAGATAGACGGTGACCCAGTATAAAGGGACTATAGGCGGTGAGGGAGGCAGTGTCGGGGTGGTCAGGGGAGGCCTTCCTGGGGAGGTGGCATTGCAACTGAGACCTGAATAGTGAGGAGGAACTGGTTGT